GGTCTGATTTGGTTGTTGTGTCTTAGGCAACCGTGGCAGCGAGCTGCGGAGGATGGAGCAGGAGCGCATAGGGCGCTTTGTCCTTAAAACTGAAACAGCAGCCGTGTGCAAGGCCTAGAGCAAAGGTCACAATGTCGCTTGATGGTTCCTGCCGGACTTCGCGTCGAATTCCCCAATTGAAGGTCGTAGCAGCGTCTACAACTCTGTTGGCTATCCCGTTTTGTTGCCCAGCTCACGGGCATTCAAACTATGATGGAACACAGGCTGTAACTTTGGATTCGGCCGTGTCCAATCGGTTGGAGTGACTGAGCGGCTTGTCTAGAGGGGTTAGGGGTGACAGACGACTTGAAGCTGACCCCTGTCTTCCTGTTCTAGGTCCTGGCCGGGTGTGGTTTTTTTAGCGAAACATTGTTCAAGCCAACAATGTTGCTTGGGTGGCTGCTGCTCATGTTCTGTCGTTTGGCCATCGTGCAGCCGTAATGCTGGGCGCAAAGTGCACCATGATGTTGTCAGTCAGCGTGTTTTCGTTTGTTGTCGGAGTCGCCCTTTTTACGGCTGCGACACAGTTTAGCAACCAACCCTCTTCTGCATGGGTTCATGCCCCACCCTTGCTGTCTACCACCTATAGCAAACTCCTCGTCCTACTTGAGTTTCTCCTGAATGGGCGGTTTTCCTTTGATTTCCTGTACACGCGCCCGCAAAAATTCTCCTCAAATAAGGAGACCTACGTTGTGGGTTCCCAACACAGCCCAAGCACCCCGGGTGCAAGCCCCCGTGGGTTTTGTTTGCGCGCACCCCTCTTAAAACAGTTTTGGCCAAGTTGTCTTTAAAGATCTTAGAAGGATAGATGGTCTCGCTCGTTCTTTATCGTCCATTCCCACATGTGTGAGCCTTTTGCATGCTTGAATAAAGTTGCCAACATAGGTCCATCCATCCAGGAGACAGGTACCTTCATGTTCATGGCGTTGGACTCGCGCGGGGATGAGAGGCGGGTCTCGGTCGTGAAGATTGGCAACCTTCACTTGCACGAAGGCCCAGGCGAAGGCCCGAAGGCCACGCTCCCCTCATGCTGAATGAGCGTGTCTGTTGAGGCTCACGGTGGTTGCTGTGTTCGCACAGGACCTAGAAGAAGTCCGAGCCGAGGGCAGGTTGATGCAAAATCGCTGGACTGCGCTTGCTTCTCCGCGAATAAGGACAATCGGATAATCTGGTAAGCGCCGTTTGGTGCATGTTGTCCACGAGGAGTGTGAATCAAACACGTGGGCCGGCGCTGAAAGGTCGCAAACTGTTTATCTGACAAGTCCGAGGTGCGAGTGCGCGAGTAGACGTGCGAGTGGTCATGTGAGTGTGCTGGGCAATGGGTAAATAGTGAACGAGCGGGCAGACATCCTTTTGACTGTGTCCGTTGCAGGCCCACTTGTTTGTCTAATTGTTCGCAGTTATCCCCCACAAGCTGGTTCGCCTACCCGCGTGCACTCAAGCCAACTTATGGTTAGAGCTCTTTGAATCCAGCCAACTGTATGTGTACACAGGTAACTAACATCCATATTGTTTCTAAGGTTGTATGCGTTCGGGACCAGCAGGTCAGTGTCATGAGAGTCAACACCAGGGACCCCTTTGAGTGTTTGTCGCCTTGAATACCCAGCATGAGTTTGGAAGACGAGCCATTCTGTTCAAAGCAAGTGAATTTCTCCAACCAGCGCTTTTCTGCCGTTGTTTCTGAAATGGTATCAAACGGAAGCCAGCTGAATTTGAGAGACCCCCATCCATTTTGAGAATCCAAGGCTCCTGACGCCACGCGGGCCAAAGGGGGTTCTGTGCCCAGGCTCCTGATTTTCAGCACCTTCCCTGGCAGCAAGTCTGGCCTCGGGGGCCGGAAGCATGCCGAGCGCCCTTCGGCGTCCATGTTCTTTTTTTGTTTGTCGGTTTGTTTCTTTGGTTCTTGTGTGTTGTTTTATCGTGTTTGTTGTTTTGTTTGCTTTGTTTGTTGTGTTTGTTGTGTTTGTTTCGTTTGTTTTGTTTGCTTTGTTTGTTGTGCTTGTTTTCTTGCTTTGCTTTGTTTGATTGTTTGTTTGTTTGCTTTGTTTGATCGATTGCTTGTTTGTTTTAGTTGTTGTTTGCTTGGTTGTTTGTGTGTGGTTGTGTGTTTGTTTGCGTCGTCTTTGTCTCTGTCTCTGTCTCTGTCTCTGCGTGTGTGTGTGTGTGTGTGTGTGTGTGTGTCTGTCTGTCCGTGTGCGTGGGGGGGCGGGTGTGGGACTGCAGAAATAAACCGTTTCACCATGACTACACATCCACATGTGAAGCCAAGGCTCGGGGAGTCAAAAAAAGAAAGCGAAGGGTCTATGTGTGCGTTGTGTTTGAAAACTAGATGGACACCACCTAGTGTTGGTTGGTCCACCTATTTTGACAGATACTCATGAACAAGTCCAAGTGCTTCAACATTGTGCGGACTGGGCGGCCTTGCTCCGTAGGTAGAAAAAAAGGTCTTGACCTGTTTGAGTGATTAGTGGGCAGCGTACTCGTGTGTGCTGTCACAGCTCGAGTCTAGCTCTGCTGACCAGCTCAGGATTGGTCAACGAGATGATTGATGAAAAGCTTCGTGCTGGCCTCAGGCAACGTGAGGCACTTGCCGCAGCCCAACCAAAACCCAAGCGGAAACTGGCTCATCTTCTTCTGGTTCAAGACTCTTGAGCCAGGTGCCCATTTGCGACGGAACATCCATGTCTTGGGCTAAAGGTTTGATGACGGCTGACTCTAAACTTTGGCCTTGGGATGGTGTACTGATTCGTGCCATTGTGGGTTGGGTGACAACAGGGCTCACGGTCTGCCCCCGAAGCACAAAAGCTGAAACCCTTACGCCCACTAAGACCCCACAATTTTGGCCGAAATCATCTGAGCAAAGGACAAGATTCCTGGAGTATGGGGTCTCAATGCCCCCCTATGTTTCTGTTGTCCAAACATAGGCGTGTCCAATTCAAGTGGGAGACACCCCAAAAAATGGCAATGGTGTCCTTTTGGTTTTCCCAAACCCTCGGAGGCTTCCACACAAAATTCGGGCCATCTGGCCGTGCCCAAGACCCCGAGGTCACAAATATGACGCCCGTGACGCTGGCAGGGGCCTAAGACCAGGCCACATGCCCCGAAAGGTCCCTCTCACTTCCAAACCGAGTTGCTGGACTTTGGTCACTTTTTGGGCTTGGACTATTTTAGTGGCAAACAAAAAGGTCGGGAGCTTTTTTGAACCATCAGCTCACGAAGTGAGTTCCTTGTCATTGAAGAGAGTTGTAATCCAAAGTATCCACCAAACAAATGCTTGTTGTTTCCAAACGTGACCGCTGGCGCTGTTACAACGGGGCCGCTCTCTTCAAATTTATCTTGCTTTCAAAAGGTGCGTCCCATCCATATTGCTCGTTGTTTGCTTTGGCAAACACATGGAGCCCCCCACTGCGATTGTTCGTCGGGCTTGCGCGTAGGCGGTGCAGTCCGCCTGCGCTAGCCGCAAACATTGCTTTGCGCAGCTGTGCAGCCAACTTGGTGACACAGAGTAGGGTTTGACAAAGCGGGTGGCCCGCTTCGTGAACCCGTGCTTGTGTTGCGCTTACTTTTCCCTGTTGTTCTTGCAATGTTGAGCAGCTTCAGCGAGTTGCTGCGCCGGGTTGGTGCCGGTGAAGAACCGAGGCCTCGGGCCGGCCTGACGTTCCTCGCGGGCGAGTGGAAGCATCCCATGGGGGTAGAAGAGCCACGCCCAGTCTACGCACCAGTGCGCCGGTGCAGCTTGTTCGTACGGGTAGCGTACCACCCTGCTCCAACCAAGATGCTTCCTGCCACCGGCCAGAAAAGCCCGGGCGTTGTTCTAGCCAACCCTGGTGTGCTGTCCGCGACACAGGTGTCCTCGCGCCAGCAAGAAGACGCGGAGTGGACACGCTGGGCTGAGCGCTGGCAACTGGCCCTACGCCCATTCCTTGAAGAGTCGCCGCACTTTGCAGTGCTTGGGGAAGCCGCAGCGGGCTCGCTCGAGAAGGTTCTGGAAGGCAAAGCTGCCAGCACGTTGAAGAAACACTTGCCGGGCTGGAAAACGTGGCTCGAAGTGGCCAACGCGACAGGTTGCCCAGGGCTTGCAGCATTGGTCACTTTTTTCCGTGGCTCAGTTGAAGGGCGACAGCGCCCGGCCGCTCTGCTTGGCTCCTTGCGCTTTGCAGCCGGGGTCATGGGCTGGGAGCCCCTGCTTGCAGACCTAAGCTGCCCTGTAGTTGTTGCGTGGGCGCAGAAGGGTCGCGCGCGGCGGGCGCGAAGGGAAGCGTTGCCGCTCCCGCTCCACGTTGTTGCTGCTTTGGAAGATGCGGCTGTTCCTGCTCTGACCGGCCCCACCACATCGGACGGGCTGGCTTTGACTGCTTTCTTGATCATGATCTGGGGCGCGCCGACATCCAGCACATTGATGTCGACAAACTGTCCATCAAGGAGCATGTGCTGTGGGCAACTTGCTCGTGCACCAAATCCAGTGCAAGCGGGATGCCCTTTGGAGTCCTCTGCATGGGTGTGTGTGCGCACCCTGGTCTGCTTGCGTGGAGCGTTTGCAGCCAGCACTTGCGGGCAGAGATTACCTCCTTCAGGTCCCCGAGGGCAGCGCCGAGCGTCGTTTAACTTTGCTCTGCGCACATTGCGTCGCTTGTTGGTGCACGCAGGTGGGCTGTCAGCGGCGGATGCGGGGCAGTTCACTCTGCACTCTCTAAAGTCAACCTGCTTGACATGGGATCAGCCCGCACGCCGTGGGGGCACCACCGCTGCAAAGAGCCAGGCGAGGCCATGGTGGCGCGGTAGTCTCGGGATGACGTGCTGCCTGCACTGCGAGCCCAGTTGCAAACACTGCAGGCCGTCCGCGGGGGTTGGATCCGCTTTGCGGCGCAGGGGTGAGGGAGCTTTTGGAGCCCTTGGCTGAGCGCGCGTTGTGTGTCAAGCCGCCAATCACACACATCCCTGCTGGACTGCAACCTTTCGTCATGGGCTGTGCGTCCGATGCGGAAACAGACCGGGCATCTGACAGCTCGAGCTCTTCGTCGTCAGCGTCTGAATCTGAGTCGGGGCGTGATTCAGAGAGCGAAGCCGAAATGCTGGAGGGCGCATCCAGACTGCCGGGCTTCTTTGTTGTGAACACTCTGTCTATGCGGGCGCATGGCTGTGTGATTGGCCCTGGGGGCCAGTTGGGCCGGGCTTGTGCCCCTTGCCATGAAATGGACGGCGTTCAGTGGGAGGTTCGGCGTGAGAACCCACTAGAAGCGGAAGAAGCATTCGTGCCATGCTCGCATAAAGCTTGCTCAGCTTGCTTGTGAAGGCCGACGCGGGCCTTTTGAAGGCTGCGCTGGCATGCGCCAGCGTCCAGCCCGGTGACCATGAGCCTTGTGAGACACGTGTGCAGCCCATGCGCTGAGGCTTTGTGGTTGCTGCCGCGGCGTTATGCCGGCAGCGTGTTGGCACGTTGCCACGCTTATCGAGGCCACGGGGCCGGTAAAATTCTTGCCAGGTTGCAAGTGTGTTGCTGCGCTGGCGTGATGCCAGCGTTCAGCTTGTTTTTCCCCTCCCCCTCAAATTGATTTGGCTGCGTTGGCGTGTGCCAGCGTTCAGCCCGGTCGGCTGCACTAGCGTGTTGCTGGTTGTTCAGCCCGGTTTTCCCTGTTGATTTCGGGGATTCGCTTGTAAAGCAGGTGGTGTTTGGATGTATCCTTTAAGGAGCCCTGCTTTGTGAATTTTATTTGTTTGGTTTGGGGAGGGGGGGGCTGCGTTGGCGTGCTGCCACCATGCAGCCTGCTTCCTCGCTGAGGTTGCAGGGCAGTGCCTGGAGGCCTGTTCTACCCGCACTGCGGGGCACCATTGTTTGGTTTGTGGCAGTGTTACGTGGCGCACGAGTGCCATCGACTTGCCTGTGCGGCCTGTGCGCTTTTTCTCCTGTGTTGCTGCTTGCCGGAAAATGGCATCCTGGACAGAATCACTGAAAGCTGCTGGCTTGGCCGAAGACATCGCAGGGCAAGTCGTTGCTTTGGGCTATGACTCTGCGGAAACTTTTGCGCTGGCTTGTCCCGGGGCCGGGGACTTGGAGGGCTTCTTGCATTTCCTGTTGGTGAGCAAGTTGCGGCTGGCCGAAGAAGCGGAGTGGAAAGTTTTGCCCATCACAGCCAAATTCCGCAAACTCTGGAAGGAGTGCCAAGCTTTGCAAGCTGTAGGAAGTCCTGCAGTGCCAAGCCAGCCAGCTGTAGAGAGTCCTGCAGCGCCAAACCAGCGGGCCCTGGCCCTGCCCGAGGAAAACGGAGAGGCCCAGCCAAGTCTTACCAACACGCAAGATCCGTTGGCGGTGGGCATTCCTGGCCTCCAGCCTGCAAACAAGCTGTCTGTGCTGGACCGTGACCGCATGCGAAAAGAACCCGAGAAGCGGTTGCCATCGGTCGTGATCACTCCCGCCAATCTGCCAAGCCTAGCTTACTTGCAAAGTGTGTGGTCGCAGCGCAGGGAAGGCCATTGGGAAGTGACTAGGCGTCGGTGCAGCTTCGCGGGCGCAAGGCTTTGCAGCCCCGCGGCGACCTGCTGGACATCGTAGCCGCTGCAGCCGGCGTGCAGCAGGAAGTGTGGGACCAAGAAATTTCCGGCGCTGTGTTTCGCATCCAAAGTCCGTCGGGAGCCGTGGAAGAGCGCCCAGATGGACCCAGCGCTGACGCTTGAGTTGCTTAATAAAGACATCCAAGCCGGCTTCGTTGCAGAGTTACACGGCGGCCTCGCCGAAGCGCAGGCCCGCTGGGGTGACCGTTTGGCAGCTGGCAAATTGGGTGTTGTTCGAGCGCCAGGCAGAAAGGCGCGTTTAATTGGGGATGGCACAGTGTCCGGCGCCAATAGCGCGTCGGCACCCGTCCCTTCACAGCGTGCAGTCCTTTTTCTCTTTGCCAGACGCCGGCGTTGCTTGGTCGGCTTTCAGTTTTGATGTGAGAGGGGCGCATAAGCTAATCAGGGTTCGGGAGGAAGAGCAGGGCTACAGCCTCTTCTCTGCCAGCGGCAGGTGGTTTTATTATAAGACTTGTTATTTTGGGTGTCGTTGGGCCGCTTATTATTTTAGCCGAGTAGGTGCTTTCCTAGTCCGTCAGCTTCACCGCTTTGTGTGGGTGACACATGGCCTTTTCTTCTATGTAGACGGTGGTCTACTGCCTGTGCCTGGGGACTGTGCCCCTTACTTGGCAGCCTTGGCGACCATGTTCTTGGTCGCGCTTGGCGTCTCGCTGAGCTTTGAGAATCTCAGCCTGGGCCACAACTTGACTTGGATCGGCTGGCGTTTGCAGGTGAGTGGCTTCACCGCCGTTTTGCCAGAGGATTGCTCGAGCCACTTCTTGGCCCGCGCCGAGAAAACGGAGCGGGCGGCGCTCAGCCGTGTGACTTGTTAGTGTGGTACACCTCCGGCGCCAAATGGTTGCGACCGTGGCTGCAGCCACTGTACTCTGCCCTTTACAAGCCTATGGCTGTGACGCGCCTTCTCCCAGCGGCGGTATAGTTCAAAGTCTTCTGCCTGACTTGACCGTTCCAAAATCTTTTGACAGTGTTCACCTGCTCTCAGGCTGGAAGCTCCATAGTGTGGCAAATTGCGTAGTTCAGGACAAAGCTGCCCCGGCCCTCGTGCACCCGCGGCTGACAAGTGACCGGGTCAACGCAGTGTCTACCCAGGCCCCGATCCCTTTGCGTAGTGTTGACTCGCCAACCACGCCGACGCCTGTGCCGACAAGGTGTTGCGGGAATCGGCGGCTGGTGGCTGCCGCCTGATAATTTGTTGCTCCTGAAAACATTTTATGGTTCCGCATGACCTTGGACGCAAGCACGTTACTGGCTTGGTTTCGCCACCCCAACTCAAGCGACCTGCAGAGCTGCATTGCTTCGCTGGAGGCTTTGGCGCAGTTGGTTCTGCTATTCCTGCAGCACCAAGATTTTCCGGGCGCAGGAAGCTGCGCGCATGTGCGCGTCAGCCAATTGTGCGACAACCAGGGCGTTGTGGCTGCATCGGCAAAAATGCTCTCGCAGAAGCAGCGGGCCAACACTTGACATTTCTCACATTGCGGGGGAAAGAAACGCCCTGAGCCGCAGTGAGGCCTTGTCCGTGCAGCCCGCAAACCAGCGGCATTGTGACCTTGGCTGCCTCTTGTCTGCCCCGTGGTTGTGAGGAGCACCTGCGTTGGGGCTTGGTTGGCTTGCCTGTGTGCTCCCTTAGCTGCATGCCTGTCCATTGGAAAAGGGAGCACACGCTGCGCAGCTATGCAATGTTGTCGGGCTTGCGCGTAGGCGGCGCAGTACGCCTGCGCTAGCCGCAAGCATTGCTTTGCGCAGCTGTGCAGCTAACTTGGTGACACAGGGTAGGGTTTGACAAAGCGGGTGGCCCGCTTCGTGAACCCGCCCGCCCGCGCTGCTTGTTGGCACTTTGCAGCCCAAGAGCTGTAGGGGCTTTGCTTGGGGGGCTGACCTGCTGCTTTGCAGGTCCCCCCCCCGCTTGTGCGCTTGTCCGTTGGAAAAGGGAGCGCAGCCGCTGCGCAGCTATGCCATGTTGTAGGGAAAAACGAGGAGCCCACCGCTTTGCGGGGCGGGTGCTCAGTAGCTTGACAAAGAGGCGTCCCGAGAGCCAGGGATTGATTGAAGATTTCTTACACCCTCCCACCAGACCATTGTCCTTCTTGAAAGGCCTGTCAAGTTCCACATTAATTGGCTGGTGCGAGGGTAGCATGTGACTCGTGAGAAAATCGCATGAATAGACTCCGTCTTTGAGACATGAGGCACATCCTTGAGACACATCCTTGATGTCACCCATCCTCCAGTTACCTCAGAAAATCTTTGTTCCCTTATGTTTTGTTCGCCACAGGAGCCATCAGCGTAGGCACGCTGAGTTCTGACTGAGGCCGCGGGCGCTCGAGATCAGCAACCTGGCAGGGCTGTGGGGCGTTTTTTGACCACGAATGGTTTGCAAATCATGAGACTATGTCACCCCAGATCCCCATTCCAGCTGTGTGGCACTAGTATTGGGAAGATCCAGTCATCCAGGATTCAAGGGCCTTGTCAAGCGGGTGCAATATGCTGGGACCCGTGTGCGTTGCGCCCGAGCAAGCGACTAGCAACAACATATTTCATATAACGTGTACACTTTCAGTTTAAGATTCAGTTGTCTAGCTCGCGCAAATTTACCTTGTTCGGGTACTTGGCTTGTGTGTGTGTGTGTTTTTAACTGCTGCAATGCCGGAATATGGTCCTGCCTCCCACACCCTGCGGTTTGAACGGCCGCTGCTTGCACCGCAGTTGGAAAGGAAGCGTCCCAGGCGTTGGGGCCTTGGGCGTGTTGACGGCGCCGCCTGCCCCCGGCGACAGCTGGTGTTTCCTTTTCTTGGATCGTGTGCTCTCTACCTTTGCAGCACGTGGCTGGAGGCGGCTAGAATTTGCCCGCGGTGTAGGACTCATCCCTGCGCAAACTGAAGCACATGCAGCAAGGCACAAATGTCGAAGGTAGGGCTGCTTGCACTGTCGATTTGTCGTTCACCTGCATGCTCTGAGATGCGGGTGCTTGCTGCAGAAAGTAGGGAATCAAACACAAACAGAACCATAGCCTTGCAACTTGAAGAATTCTGAAGACATAGCCACGCATGCTGTGCTAGATTAACCGAGGTAAACCCACAGTCCTGTCCAGGGAAGGAGGCTGAAAATTTGTTATTCAGTACTTTAATTGTGAGTGGTTCAAAAGCCAGTTATGTGCTAAAGATAGAGCCAACAAATTGAATCCACAGACCGAGGACAGCAGGCGACCCCGGCGCCGCTCCAGTCGTTCCCCCTCCTGGCGCGGGGAGGGACCCAGGGTGAGGTGCGTGTTTTTTTGAGGTTGCAAAGTAAAGCCCCAAGCAAAACACGATGTTGGGAGGCTTATTAAAGCAAGACACAGCCTTTGGTTGTGGCCTGGTGAAATGTTGGTGTTTGTTCCAATGGCTGGCAAAAAAGCCAAACAAGTGGGCGAAAGGCCGGGCATATGAGAATGAGCTGGGGCTTTCAGGCAATCTCACCCAAGATGAAAGCCCCTTAAAAGTGCGTAGGTGCGTTTTCTGTTACTGAAGTGATTTGTTCAGATGGGGGCCCCAACATGGTGGTCAATCTCGGTTTCCCCTTAAACCTGACCGGGGAAGCCTCAAAACACAAACGCACAGCCATAGATGGGGGTGTCTTGTCTTATTTTTCTGGTTGGCTTGTCCTTTAAACATGGTTGTTGTTGGGACACATTTTACATTTGTGTTTATTGTGGTTTAGTGGGAAATCCCCACTTAACAGCTAAAATGTCAATTGTTGCTCCCCTTCCAACGTCAACCAAGGTAAAGCCATCGAAGATGGGGCGCCAACTCCCAAAACGTCCACCAGATGTTCGGAGGCCTATACCGGGCATCCCGCCCAGAAAAAGAGGGTGGGGCCAAGGCGTGTTCCAAGAATATGTCTAAACGACAAGTTCTTTTTGTGTCCCCATCGAGATCAAGAGTCAAGAGGCAAGAGGCAACCCGCAGCCCTAGTAGCCGAACTGTTGGCAAATCGTGCGGGGGCAAGATCCGAGTTCTAAGCAGCTCGGTCAAAGTGATGTGTTGATTGATTTTTCTACCTCTGGAAGCAGAGGTGATGCAGTTGAGACCAGCTGACCCGATTTGACTGTGAAACCCTCTACCTCAACCCCCTGGAATACCCCGCACGCGGTCCGAAGTACCTTCAGTACCTGGTACCCTTCAAGCCACCTCAACCCCCCACAGACAAACTGGTTTGATTCACTTGAAGGCCGAAGTCTTAGCCGGCGCGGGAGGTCGCCCCGGGCGCGGTCCCGGTCTCCAAACCCGCGGGGCATGCGCAGCTGGGATTGACGCGGCCGGCCGGCGGGAGAAAAAGAAAGCCGGCCGCTGGCCGATTGTGGCCCACGCCGCGGGTTTGGCGATTTTGGCCGCGTAGTCCGGCAATGAGGTCCGTGATTTGTTCACAAGACTAATGCTGACCTCGGGCAAGAATGACTTAATTACTATCCAACAAAGCCTGTGCTGTTTTAGGCCGCCCCTTTTTTGGCCTTGTCTCCAACGGAGATCACAAAAGAAACACATCCATGGGATTCCCTTGACCACCTGGTGCCGAGGCCTACCCACCGGATCATCCTTTGCCACCCCTGGCCGCCTCAAACCAAGGCCGGAAAAAGCCGTGCGCGTTGCCCTTGTTGGGAAACGCAATCATGAATCTAAATGGGGAACCGCCTCAAAAGTGGTCGCTGGGCAAACATCCCCAGTTAAATCATGTCCACCAGAAGTGAAACTAACAAACAAGCCAACGAACAAACAGTGGTCAAGCAACGAGCTACAAACAACACACATCATTCAAACACACAATGATTAAGTAACAACACACAGCGGGGGGGGGGGGGCAGAAACGCACACAAAAGACACCAAGCAACACATACAATAAGCAACACACCACCGGCAACAGACAGTACAGAACAAACACCACACGCCATACAAGAAGCAACACGAAACAGGCGGCAACACAAAAGCTCGGGTACAACACAAACTTGGTGTTTGGGCTGGAGGAATTTAGCTTCATGCACCCCCCCCTTCCCGCAATCTTCGGCTATGACCCCTCCACTTTGCACGCAGAAACACACAACACGGATCAGATTTTTTTTGGTGCTACTTGTTGCAGTAAGCGCTGTTAAAGCGTAATGGGTCGAAACTCAATGAATGTGTGAAGTTGCAATTTATGCTTGACAGCGCTTTTCTGCGGTGGAGCGTTGCACACTACCAGAATTTGACTTCACTGCTGCAGATTCAAGAGCTCTTGGGAGAACCTTCATAGCACCCTCTTCAGGATTCTCTGTTCAGGGAGCATGCCAATGGCCAACTCGCCATCGCCTTCCTTACTTGGGATTCCTTTTTGTCCGTCTTAAAATTGTATATATATATATATAGATATATGGCTTGTTGTCTCGGGTAGGCGTCCTTTTGTCCGTTGTAGGTTTTTGCAAAGTTAGCAGCTGAATTAACGAGCGCTCCAGGCACCTATGCCGCCAAGCACGGCTACAGGTGCCCGACGTCGATATTTTTTGTGCTGGGGGGAAGTGTTGCCTAGCAGATTCTTCTCTTTTGCCAGTGGTGAGGGGTTCGATGTGTAGAGGTTCTTTGGCTGTGGGCTTGGCTTAAACAGCTTTGGCTGTTTGAACTGCCGGGCTGGATGGAGCCCAAAAGTAGCCCTGAATTTGCATTGCTCAGAGTCTCTGAGTGCATGAGATTTCTCAAACCTGCACATTGCCCCATGGTGTTTCATTGTTTGAGCCTGAAAGGGTTGGCTTGCCCTCGGCATGCTGAGAGCAAGCGTAGCAATGCCAATATGCCGGTTCTTGCTCATGATCTCAGCTTGTAGAGAAGCCAACAACCTGCTCAGCAACTATCGCAAGAAGCCTTCTCTGCCATGGACCCTGCACGCCCGAGGAATAATGCTGCCGCAAACAAACAACGGGTGTCCCTTGCATCACCTTAGCACATCAAGGCGGCTTCACGACAGGAGTTTGGTTTGCCACCGTGTTTACCCATGCGATGTCATTTCTTGGATCTATTCCTGATTTTGAATTGGTGATATCTTATTAGATTGTCGAGCCCTTTCCTGTTTTTGGCAGGTAAATTCAATCATTCACCCAGATCTTTGCACGCTTGGAGCATAAAAGTTGGGTTTCCCGAGGGCGACACATCAACTCGCCACGAATGGCCCACCCGCGGCCATGGCGCTCGCCCGTTCCTTGGCGCGGTGCTCGGCGAAGTCATTTTCGTCGCTGGCCGCGCGGTTCCGCCCTGCCTTGCCAGGCGAAGGGGGGTGGATGGGCACCCACTGGTTCCATTCCTGTCGTGGCCGTTAAGCCTTTGAGGATAGCAGCACACATCACCGATATGTCTCGTCGATGGCCAGGCGTCCTTGATGGTGAGATGTACGTTTCGCATGTGAGAGGTTGGAACTGCGGAAATGTCTGAGCTGACTCTTGGTGCGCCTTATGCGGGTCTTTAATCCGAGCACCTTATGGAGTGAGGCAAGGACAACCTAAAAGCCAATTTGGAGAGTTTGATTTGATCGCCGGCTGTTCATTCAATCCATATTTCACCCCCGGGCCCTTAGGTCATTCCATGCTCGTGCAGAAACGATCCACCCAATTCCCGCAGCAGCAACATCTTTTTCTTCTTCTTTTTTTCTTCGGAAAGCTTTGGTCTTCAGGGACCCCTTAGTTGGTGGTTTAGTGGTTCCAATCCAAACCACCAAACCGCCGGGTTCCAAACCACCAAGAGGGAAGCTGTCTGTCAACATTTCGGCCTCGCTTGGGATCCTGAAGGACTGCGAGCCAAACATGTCGCAGCGATCCATCTGCTTGGCTTTGAATTGATACGAATGCTTCACTGAGGATGCTGTCTCAATGATCTTTTGAAACTCACTGGCGATCCTTTTGCCACACTTCCTGAATTTGAGGAAGTGCCTTGACCTGCAGGGAACCCCCCCCCAAAAAAAGGGAAAGGGCGTTGTGTTTCCCATGCCTCATATCCCAAAAGAAGACCAGCCCGGAGAAACCTTCCTGTTCAGATTTCCACGGAGGCTCCGGGCGCAGCAATGTGGCCCTCAGCCGGGCCCTCGTTTGCGAAGCTCAGGTTGCGGAAATGTCAGTTGCCACCAAAGAGGCCGATGGGAACCAAAACCAAAAGACCAGCCCGACCTTTCCCACCAGGAAATAAGTGATTTTGACCAAGCCTGGAAATTGCCTAAAGCGGTCTAAAATGCCGGTGGGTTCACCTGTTTGGCTTGGACAACTTCCCCCTAAAAGGCACGCTCTGCTGGGTTTGGTGAAATATTGGGGCTACGCTTCCCACTTTGCTCGTTTCGGGTGTTTCTTTTGGGGCTTCCAAGTTCTTTCGGAGAGACTTGGAGCATGGAAGACCAACTCTAAGCTTCCAAGTTGTAACCAGAAGTGGAGCTTTTTGGCCACCAGATTGAGAACTTGCCATCCAGATTGGCTTTGCTTGCCGACTTTCGGCTTGCGATCCTCGCAGATTTGGATTTTGCCTGGGGATTGCTTTGATTCCCTTTCCATGGTTGTTGTTGGGACACATTTTACATTTTTTCTTATTGTGGTTTAGTGGGAAATCCCCACTTAACGCTAAATTTTTATATTTTGTTCTTCCCTGCCAACGTCGACCAAGTTTCAATATTGACTGACGACCAAGTGAAATCCAAAGCTTTGGGTTCCCATAAGACATATCGAGTCCATGTCTAGTAAGCCTATTTTAGCAACGTAGCACCAGATGAACCTCAAAGAGCCAACCAGATGCGGGCATGTGTTTGTTCTGTGGTACCGCTTTCTCACATTGGTCCACGCCTGCCACAGGATGCAACATCATCTTGCCCCGAATCTGCCTGCTGATGTGTTCATGCTTCACCCATGTGCCAAGTGTGTTTCAATCATGGTCATGGCTGAAGCAATGAATGCCGCCCGCGTTGCCATGAAACCCACCAGAAGGTCCCTAAGAACATGTTAGACGCCAGGTGCCCCTGCAGCATGGGCAAAAGGACACCAACTTCGCCCAGGTATCCTGTTTGTCTAGTTTGGTGGAAAAATCGATGGCCCTTAACCTCTTTGCTTCATAAGCTACCACGGAAACCCATCTATTTTCCCGAAAGGTCTAGGGGTAACTTCCCCATTCTTTCCAGGGATCCTTCTTTCTAGAAAACCACCCAAAACCCTGGGGAAATGGCGATCGGTTTTGGACAAGAACGATGGCTGGAAAGAATGGAAAAGGGATCAACCCCTAGAAAAGGGGCACTTCAGGCACTTCCCATCAAAATCAGACACCTGTGCAGGAAGGTCTGATTTTGAGCACCCAAATCCACCACCCACGAGCCCCACCCACGAGCAACTCCAAGGCGAGGGCCGGTTTTCGCAGCTCCTCGAAGCGGAGATTACCACCATGTCCATGCAAGAGGCGGGCCGATCCGGGCAAAAACTCAGACATGAGCTATGCTTGTTGGATGCATGCATATATATATATATCATGAAGCATGATCACAGTTGCATAAATAGATTGAACATATATATATATATATGTATGTGTGTGTTGCATATATAAACATATATATATATATGTATACAAGTAATGTTGATGCTGATGGGTAGTGTTGATGCTCATTCATAACTAATATATAGACATATATTTTCGATTTTGTATGCTTACATTAGATACAATTAGCAAATACATTAAGTTTGTTTCCAGGCGCTCATGAAAGGAAGACTTGGGCGCCTTTCGGCCATTGCACCTGCCACAAAAACTCGTGAAGCGAGCCCATGGCCCCGAGCGAGGCACGGAGCCTCTCCCTGAAAGACATGATGGAACTGGCCACGGTGCCGGAGACCCTGGCGGACATTCTGCACGAGGCGCCTGCGCGGGTGGTTTTTGTGCCTCTCGTGAGCGAAAAAAAGGTCAGCGGAGCCTGGGAAAACTGAAGCTTTGCATCGGAAAAATGCCATTGGTTGCTGGTTTATGGGGCGGGTTGGTATGGGAACGTGAGCTCCTCCAATCACTGGAGAGTACCAGCAATGAGAGAAACTGACAACTAGCAAGCGCAATCCTCAGCAAGCAAGTAAGATATGGGTTTGTGTGTGTGTGTTTTCTGAGGCCATTTTGGGGTTGGTGTAAAGGGAAGCCAAGTGGGGTGCCCCTATTTTGACACATGCCCAAATCAAGCGCAACGCGGCAAGTAAAGACACGTAGGTGAACAGGTCTGGTTTGCGCTGCCTGACCTTTTCATATGGTCTTCTAGCATTCCTTCCATCTACGAGTTCTGTAATATGCCTTTCACACGTTCATTGATAAGTAATATACCTTCAAAACTCATACTGAAAATGGATGTGTGATTGTTTTGAAGGGTACCTGTTCAGATTGGCTTGAAAGGGAACGAGCAAGAAATCACCAAATTGGTGGTCACCCTATCTTGACACATACCCTGTCGCGCCTATAGAGTATTTCACCGGCGTCCTCCATGCGTTCCCTTTGCGAAAAACCATGGGGACAGGATGTTCTGAATTTGCGAGGCCCAGAGCAACCAAAGCAAACTGTCCCACGATCGCCTGATCAACTTTATCCTTTTCATAGGACAGCTTTTTGTTGAGGGTACCCTTTTTGGGCTGGTTTTAAAGGGAAACCAAACAGAAGCCACAACTGTTGGGGGTCCTAAAAAAGACCACACACATGTCCATTTGATATTTTAGGGTAGACAAATATGAAACCGGTGCTCCTTCTTTCTTTCCCATGTACCCATGAGAGCTGGGATTTGGTCTGCCTCCAACGAGAACCGAGCAAGTTTTGACGAAACAGGGACTTGGACCCCGAAATTTGCGGTGTGCCTAATATCCTAACAAGGGTAGAAAAAAACAGAAACTTTGGTGCATTTTGCTTGGATGTTAGGGCTTTAGCTTTTTGCCAACTCACGGGTGTTCCGTATTAAACCACTAAAAGTTAAACTTTTAGCAGGGGAGCGGAAAGCAACCGAGAAACAACGAAAATAAACCCCCATTTAACACCCGCGGCACCGAAAGTGTTTCAAACGGCTCGGCCAGGAGCTGCCGGTGCGCTACGCGCGCCGGATTTCCATGTTGGAATCTCTGCCGGAGTGGAGGGGCAATCCCAGCATCAGGCGGGGACGATTCTGCGTTTTGTTGCCGGTAGCTCATGGTTTCCTATGGTTTCCCTAAATGACCCGAACAAAAAACGGAGAAAAAGAAGTCCCAAAAAAATCCGAGGAAAAAAAAAGCGAAAAAAAAAAAACGTCCCAAAATACATCCACACCCAATGAACTTCAGAGGAGTCGAATTGAGCCTGTCACTATAAGGGAGGAGTCCCAACTTTAGGCACCGGTTGTTCAATTGAGTTTGGGCCTTCCAAGAGGCAAGACTCGAACGGTTTGGTTTTGGGAAGAGTTTGTGAGACCAAAAAGGGGCCTCCACAGTTTCGTTGTAGAAGGCAATTCTTCGTTTCGATGGTTTCCCACCATGGGATCAACCCCAAGGGGTCCCTTTTTCTGCCGTCACTTGGGTGATGCCATTTGGGTCTTGGGAACGAAATTCTTGGTTGGATTGACAGGGAAGCCCCGTTGTTCCACATGGAACATCTTGAAGATGCCGGTCCGGCATACCTATGCCAGTTGCCGCCAGCAGTAGGAAACCAAACCAGGAAGCCATCGTGTAGGAGCCGCAAGCAAGACTGTGGTTGGCCCGGGAGATCCACCATGAACATTTGCCCACCAAAACTCGATGCGCTACAGTTCCCCCAAGTGGGGAGAAATGGTCAGCGCAGCATGAAATGGTTGCTGGCTCGAAGTCGATGCCGAAGGAAGGACAGGCTTGAGGCAAGACATCCTTAGGCATAAGGTAATCGTGCCACGCCCATTCCTTTTGAAACCCGTTTGGGTGGGTTCGTCAGGTCGCAGCCGGTTCAACTTCCACACGGGAGTAAGGAAGGTGCTGTAGGCGTTTTCCCCAGCCGTTCCTATTGGAGTCAAACATTCAACTGAGCTTGTTGGGTCAACCGCTCCCATGTTGGCTTGGTGCTTTCCAGTTGAAAGCACGCCATTTGAGTTGTTGCTTCTCTTGAATGTGTTTGATAGTTGTTTTTAGTTGTTTTTCTCTCTGCTTGTCTGCTTACAACGTGCGCTGAAGTAAAATTGTGTGCATGTGCGTGTCTGTCTGTGTATGTGTGTGTGTGTGTGTCTGTATGTGTCTCTCTCGGTTTGTCTGCGTCCGTCGCTGTGTGCCTGTCTCTCTTTCTCTCTTTCTCTCTGCCTCTCTGTTTGTCTGTCTGCCTGTCTCTCTGTCTCTTTGGCTGTGTGTGTGTGGCAGTGTGTCTGTGTGTGTGTGTGTGTGTTTTTGTGTCTGGACACAAATAGAGAGAGGCACAGAGAGAGAGAGAGAGAGAGAGAGAGAGAGAGAGAGAGAGAGAGAGAGAGAGAGAGAGAGAGAGAGAGAGAGAGCGAGAGCGAGGCTGGCTGGCTGGCTGGCTGGCTGGCTGGCTGGCTGGCTGGCTGGCTGGCTGGGTGGCTGGGTGTGCGTACGAGCGCGTTCGTTTGTGTTTGTGCTTGTGCTCGTGTTTGTGTGTGTGTGTGCGTGTGTGCGTGTGTGGCAAGTTCGCTGGGTGAACTCAGGTTGTGAAATTCGATTGCAGACCTTCCCCTGAAGGTTCTTTCGACGCTCGCGTGCGCGCAACTGAGGCATGTGCGGGACATGTACATCAAGTCCTTCAAGGATCTGCGGCTTCTCTCTCCCACACACATGTGAGGTTTGACACAATGGTGGCCCTCTTTTCAGGTCCACCCAAAAAAGGCTGGCGCCAAAAAGATCTCCAAATCTGGTCAAAGTCGCGGATCCAAAGACCGCGCAGCGCAGCTGAGGCTGGACCTTTCCAATGGCCACCCAACCGACATGAAAGTTGGGCCTTTGAGCTGGCAGTCGCTTTGACCTTTTAAGAAGGTCCCTTTCGATGGGCGAAACGTGGGTGCCTTCACGAGGAGCTTCGGATGGCCGATCAGCTCCGGGACTCCGAGCTGAGGCCAGGGGCTCTGAGCGTGGTAACCCCAGCTGGCTTACACTGCCAAGCACATTGGACGGTCCACAGCTTTTCGGGGCAGTTGATGGTTAAGGCGACCAGAGGAAATTTGGTGGTCGCCCTCTTTGGGTGTGTCAAGTTGATTAGTTTGCTGGTGGACAGTGTTTTGAAGGAACCCAGCGGAAGACCAGAGATTAGGGGTCCAAGCCTTGGACACGCTTGGAGAATTGAAATGCTGATGGCACGGTTTGACTTGCCTTTGTGTGCCTTCTCATTGGTTTAAGGAGGTTGCTTACACAAGGGGTGTTCAAACATGTGTATGCAAGGGGTTGGCACGTTGATGCACACGGCCCACTTGTGTGGACTTCCTGGCAGTGGTTCAGGCACATGCTTAGAGAAATCCAAGCTGTCGTGTTGTAGATGGGCTCCTGTTGGAAGAGTCGACAAGACTCTTTTGTTGGTTTCACTTTGGCGTTCCCCCCCTCTGTGGGTTTGTGTCAAAGTAGAAGGCCCCCTTTGGGATGAAGGGAAGCAAAGGTCTCCGCTCGGCGCCAGGCAGTGCCTTGCAAAGATCAAGAACCGCCACTCTCGGACCAACTTGTTGGTGCAGGGCTTCAAGGACCTAGTTGGCATTCGATGGTCCCGGGTCCTTCATGTGCAAAGGCCACTGTGGGAGTCTAAACAGCTAGTGTTTCGTTTCAATACCCGGCCCCCGCTTTGGACCCGTCCTTTAGATTCCAAAAACCAGTTGGTTCGCAAGCAGAGACCAGTGGTTTTCTTCTCGGCCACCCAACCTTCAGGAACCCCAGTCTGTGACACAAGGGCTAGAGCTTTTGACCTTTGGCTCAAGAAAGCCTCAGACATGTGGAGAGGTACCTGCTTTTAGAGGTCTAAGGTTCCATTGACAAGGGACGACTCAACATGGACTCTCAGCGAAGCCACGTGGTAAAGGGTCCCAAAATTACAGATTCCAATAGCGGTTTCCTTTTGGCCACCCCTCAGTTCTGGCATCCCGCGTTGAGGACCCCCACCTATTGCAGGTTCCAATTGCAGGTTCCACGTAGGACGCGGAGAACAGGATAAAGCTGGCCGGGACGTTTAAGCCTTGAGATATGGCTCAAGGTGTGATTGCGGTTCGACTTCTTCAAAAGCGCGAACCTCGCAACTGCATGGTTTTCCCTTTGGCTGCTGTCTCCAGGTACAGCTGTCTTCCCGCGGAAAAGTGACAATTTGTTTTGTTTTCCCCAATGCGGAGGCAAAGGGCTCCTGTTATGGGTGGTCTGGGGATGCAGGTCGTGTTCGCGACGAGTTGTTCTAGAGTTTGCAACCATCCGCAATCGTTCACAACCGTTCGCAAGGTGGCGATCAGGCCGTCGAGCAGTTGGGGAAGGCTCAGAAAGGGTATGTTTTTATGACTTGTCAAATGTTGTTTATACTGCACCTGGGCGAAAAGCGATGATTTGTGGAAGGTTGCGCGTCCGCCTTGCCGCGCGTGTGAGAGTCAGATTTCAGGGGTAATCGTTTTGAGACGTTGCTCAAGTGTTATTTTCATTCGCCTTCGCGCAGTCGCCTCGTTTTGGCGACACACTCCCGTGCCAATTTTGGATGAGCATCGTAAACGCGTCAGGGCTGAAATTGGTGGCAGAGACACCTTGAGCTTTTTTGGGGGATGTCTTTGAGTGTGCTTGGGTGTGTCCTTGGGGATGTCTTCGGGGTCGCCTTTGGGATGCTTTGAGCGTGCCTTTAAGGATGCGCCTTACGTCACACCATGCATTTTGCGAAGCAAGGCAGCTAGAAATCGCGAAAGAACGCGATGCAAAGAGGAAGCGCAGCAAGGGCAGCAAGCGCGCATGCAGAGCATGCAACTCAGTTAGCAGCTTGCAAAAGCTGTCGCAAGGAAGGCGTTTCAAGGAAAGTCCAAAATTGTGCGTCAGGGCAGAACAGGAATTTGCAACCGCAATCTTTTTATGACACACCGCGTGCCGACGCGATGTAGTACCTGTGCCATTTCTTTGGCTTGTTGTTGCAGAAGATGTGTCTGATTTCTGGGCAGCATGTGCGTCCGCCAGTATGAGACACCGCCATTTTTGGGGCGAACCAAGAAAAGGCGCAGATGGGCAACGGCGTCTGCAGGAGTACCTTCAACAGAAGAAGCTCTCTGAGCCCCAGATCAATGAGTGGCGCCTTGGATGTCAGCAACTGACACCTGGTCTACGGTTGGAATATTCAGCTTCGCACATTCTGACTCATATTGGTTCAACACAAATGGGAAGCACTGAGTTCCGGTTAAACAAGTGTTTTTGTATTTTTTACCGGATCTTCATTCAAAGTCGCCACTCGGTGTTCTTGTGGTTTCCCTTCAAGGCATCCTAAAATGGTCGCCTGGTTTAGATTGGCTACGGCTGGAATTAGGCGTTGTCCATTTCGAGTTGGGTTTGATTGTGCGGTTCCGGGTGGTTGCCCTTCTTGCCACATGGACAAAGTTCGTTGTTCCTCAGGTTGAAAGAGGTGGACGAGCAAAAGATGGCAATATGAGGTTGTCACTGTATGGACTTTCATTGACTAAGGGAATCCTTGCCAAATACAGGGAAGCAGAAAGAGAAGCAGGAGCGGTGACCATGGTATGTATAACCAACAGAGCAACGCGATCAGAGTCTTAAGGTTTTGCCCTTTGCCCGAGCTGTTTTGCAGCATGACAGGTACCGCGCGCGGTTTTGGTTGAGCCCCTATCAGTTCACCTAGTACCAAAATCGAGCATGGTTGCTCCTAGCTTGTGCATCATCTTAGCAATGGCGGGTTTGTATATTTTTTGAAGCCTCCTGAGCCTCTGCAACCAAAGTGGCCGGCTCTTGGCCGGTCATCGCAGCAAGCCACTCGCGAGTGCAATTTGCAAGGCTCAATGAGTTCTTCACGCTGCGCATCAGCACGAGCTTGTTGATCTCCCAGTTTGAGGAGCTGGCAGGGCACGCAATAAGCAGCCACCCGGCAGGTGTTTCCCTGGCTGTTGAAAGGATGGGCCCCTCTACGCGGATATCTTTTGAAATGAGTGGAACATGTTAGATTAGGAGGTTAAGTGTGGCCAAGAATCAACAGATAAATTTTGTCGGGGGTAAGAGTGTGGTGCGACGTTTTGTTTGGAGTTGGGACTAAGGTCCTCGGAGAGCAAGTCAGTTTTGCTGGTGTAATTGGAATTGTGCAGGAAAGGGCACCGGTGATTTGTCGGTCCAAAACGAGGTCCCGGAGCACTTTTCGTATCAATCATTGTGTAGCCAGACCTAGCTGCAGGAACTGACTACATGGAAGATTCGCACATGCACGTTGGCAATGTTGAGGACCTTCTTGTTTTGTGCGTTGAGGTCACCCGCTAGAGCTAGGAGTTCCCCCAAAGCAAATCGGGCCCTGCCCCGACTGATGTCTGCATTCCACGGACAGATATATCCGTGTGCAGGCCACTTGAGAATTGTTCATCAGCATGGTGCAGCGAGGGTGACTTCTCTATATCATATATTTCCGGGCGCAGAGAGCTTCGGGGCCTTGCACCGGGTTTGTGATTTCCATTCAGATGTGGATGAAATTTTCTCTGCGGACCTTGGGCCAAGTTGCAGGAAGCAGTCCCGAGCCAAGGTGAGGCAGACGCCAGCTTCAACCCGTACCAGAGTTTCATCAACACGCAGTGCAACTGGGCGTGAGCTGAAAGGTATGATGTCAGCTTCTGTTGAAGGGCACACTTGGCAGACAAGATCGTTTTCAGCTGTTTCCTGGCCCCGGAGACTAGGTTGAAAGGCAAAAGAGTTCACGCCTCCCAGCAGGGAGACACTTTGCTCCAGGTGATCCGCTGAAAATTGCGCAGCATGCTGCCGATGTCATTCAGCCACTCGATATGGTGGGGTCCCAGCGCGAACGCTTTGGCTAAAGAAAGGGATCCCGACAGAGAGCAATGTGGAGAGATGCCAAACCTTGGTCAGGGTCTCTTCAATTCCCTTTTTGGAACCTCTAAAAATGACGATGCCCATGGAAAGGGGGTTTCCAGTGACCCCTGATGGTTTCAATGATTAATAAAGATTCTGCATCCCTCGTACACTGCATGTCAACGTATTGCACTTGATGGTCATGCTTGGCGCGATACAGCCAAGAGGATGACTTGGGGTGATGGTGTCGGCTTTGTGCTTTAACTCGTGGCGTGTTCGCAATTGCACCTTTGGAGCCTCTGGTTGTTTTGAGGTCTTTAGGCGTGCTTGTCCATCATCCAATCCTCGCAACCGTGTTCAAAAGGAAGCAACATTGAATCAAACATTCGCAGCGGTCCCCGGCGCAGTGCCTTCTCACATCCTCAATTTGGAGCTGTAAAACCATGGACCTTTGCCCATGGCGAACTAGGAGGTTTGGTCTACTTAAGCAGAGCTTGGGCCTACTAGGCCGACATGCTGATGGCCTGCTATTAAGGACCACTACAATACACTCATTTCAACACGCACAATGTTTGACCAGGTCGTTGGCGCCCCTCGGGAAAAAGTGCACCGCTGTCCCCTTCTGCGGTTATCATTGAAATACTAACTAGGCTTCTTCGGATATACATATGTATGTACTCGCATGTTAACAGGATTCCGCTTGCATGTGCCTAAATCAGCCGCTCTTTGCTCGATGTCCATTCCAATTTGCATGGGGGTCATCAACTGGGTCGACTGTTTGAATCCTGTAGCGTTCTTGGTTTGCTGTCAGCACATAGGAGTCGTCCCCTCCAGATTGGTTGTCTTGTGTTCCTGCGGGGGTGGGGTAATTATGTGTCAAACAGGGGCTTTCCAAGAATTTTGGTGGGACCCCCTCAAAAAACTCAGAGAGGCCCGGCCAATGTTTCGCGGAGGAAGCTTTGCGAGCAGTGGTATGGGAGAGCGCCCAAGATCATCGTCACGGATGCAGGAGCGGCGGCCTGGAAAGGACAGTGTCCGTTTTTGTTTTTGGTAAAAAACAAAATAAATATTTAAAAAAAAAAAAAAAAAAAAAAAAAAAAACACATATATATATATATATACACCAGCAGAGACCCCAAACAGTTGAGGACTGACGGGCAAGCACAAACATGCCAACAGCTTGTGTCTTTCTGCGCTTCAACACGGATGAATCAAAATGATGCAGTCGTGAACCCGGCACGCGTTGCGTTGCTGTACGTGTGTTGCTGGCGTGCTTCGCGCTTCAGCACCGCGTGGGAACTGAGGTTGGGCAAGCGCGTGCGATAGCGGGCGAGCGCGCGCGCATGAACGCAAGTGTGGCTGTGCAAGCGCGCGGTCGCATGGGCAGTTCAGACACACATGTCCAATTCAGACACACACATGTGTGTGTGTGTGCGTACATGTAGAACACACATATGTACACGACTGAAACAGTACACGCGGCACGCGCAGATGTGCACCCGTGAACACACACATATACATTTACCTGCGGCACACGCATACATGTGTTGAGCTGGAAAACCAAAGTGTGCTTCTTGTAAAGCGCACACACATGCGTACACCTGGAACACACACATGCGTTCACCTTCGACACGCAAATGTGTTCAGGTGGAACCGACATGTGTTCACTTGGGACACAATGAAACGCGTGCCGAATTCAGACACACATGTGTGCACACGTGGCACACACGTGTGTTCCCCTGGAACACAAACAGGTGCAATTAAAGCACAAATGTGTGTACATGTGGGACACACATGTGTAGACCACTGGAACACAAATATGTGTCCAGGAACACCGCGTGTGCGATTCAAGCACACATGTGTGCACACGTGCAACACACATATGTGCACGCGTGAGCAAACATAACAATCATGCGTTTTCTGGAGCACATACATGCGTACACCTGGGGAGCAAAAAAGTCGTCAAACACAGAAAAATGTTCACCTAGCACATGATAATGTGTTCATGTGGAACACACATCTGCCCACCTGGAACCCAAACACGTGTACAAGTGGAACACACATGTGCGCACACGTGGCACACACACACACACATATGTGTACACGTGAACACACATATGTGCACACGTGAACACTCACATAAATGTGCACCCGGGACACACACCAGTGTGCTCATCTGAAAACAACCGTGTATTCTCCTGGAACGCAAACACGTGTCCAATTGGAACACACATGTGTGCACACGTGAACACACATATGTGCACACGTGGAACACACACACAAGTGTTCATCTGAAAACAAAGATGTGTTCATGTGCACAAGGGAACACACATTTATGTGCACGCAACAACAGACACACACGAGTATTCATCTCATTTATCACACACGTGTTCTCCTGGACCACAAACACGTGTCTAGTTGGAACACAGAAGTGTGCACACGTGAACACACGTCTGTGTACACATGGGGCACAGATATGTGTACACGTGAACAGTTCATCTGATAACAAACATGTACTCACCTGAAACACAAACACGTGTCCAGTTGGAACACACATGTGTGCACACCTGAACACACAAATGTGTACAAGTGGAACACACATATGTGTACACATGAACACACATACATGTGCACGCGGAGCAGACCCACACACTCACGCGCGTTCATCTGATAACATAAATGTGTTCTCCTGGAACACAAACACGTGTCCATTTGAAACGCACATGTGTGCACACGTGAACACACAAATTCCTACACGTGGAACACATATGCGTACGCGTGAACACACATACATGCGCATGCGGAGCAGACACGTGTTGATCGGATAACAAGCATGTGTTCTCCTGAAACACATGCACGTGTCCAGGTGGAACGCACATGTGTGCACACGTGAACACACAGTGGAACACGCATATGTGTACACGTGAACACACAGATGTGTACACGTGGAACACATATTTGCACTCGCAAACACACACATATATGTATCTATGCACACCCGGAACACGCACACACACACACACACACACGCACACGCGTTTTCGTCTGATAACAAACATGTGTTCCTTGAACACACACACACATGCGTACATCTGGAACACATATGTGTGTGCGTCTGGAAAGCACATCTCTGGTCACCTGCAACACACATTTGTGTTCATCTCTTGGAACAGGCATGTGTTCACGCACGACACTGGTGCAGACCTGGATCACACAAGTATGTTTAACCAGACCAAACTGTGCTGACTTGTAACACACGTATGTGTACACATGAAATACACGCACGTGCACATGTGCAGAAACATGTGCAACACAGTTGTGCAGCACGCATGCGTTCACCTGGACAACAAAAATGTGTTCACATGCAGTTTACATTCTCTGCACGCCTGTGCGACACATAAATCAAGTTCCCGAAGCCGGCTGCAAGGCGCTTTTCCATGGGCCTCTGCCGAATAACGCTTGTGTTTTATACGCATGTTCCGAGTAGGAAAATAGTGTTTGTGTGCGGCCAATCTAGCAATTTTGCAACACGTTGCTAGCGCGCGAGCCTGCAACTGCTGTTGCTGCTGCTGCTACTACTGCTAATGCTATCAGTCTCGGGTGGGTCTCCAGCATTTACAGGCTTCATCTTAGCAAAAGCTTTCCGGCGCATTTGCTTTCGCAGGGAAATACACAACCCAATTCTTCCGTATGCTCGGCGCAAGGCATCCCTGCCTTCTTGCCTCAGCCGCTTTGTTTCCCGTCTGTCCAGCAACTCGCATCCCCTGGTAGTTGCATGCAAGGAGGCGGAAGCAAATTTGCACTGAGGCGTAACTGGGAACCGGTCACAGCTGACCACTGCGCTAGCGCCTTGCTAGCGTGCGGCTAGCGCGGCTTCGCCGTATTTTTTGGAGTCACGGCGGCCATCTGTGTGGACTTGACAAATTAAGGCTACGTAAGATGAAGGTAAGCGTGCAGGCTGGCTTCAAGTACTAAGTAAGAACCGCAACATTACACCCTTGAAAGCCACACAAAGCCCATCGCAGCAACCCACGCGCCAACTCTTGGAAACCAAGATCACCGAAGACCCTAGCGCAAATCAAGCGCCATCCTAGCGCCTCCAGTGGAGCGGGCAATCTATTGGTATTTGCAGGACTCCGCCTTGTATGAATGAAAAACTGCACAAAGTGACTGCGACGGCAGCCTCTGCAGTCTGTAGACTAACCTTACAAAAACATGACCGGAACGCACATGTGTTTTATCAGAAAAATCGCATGCTTTCACCTGGAACAGAAACATGTGCTCACGTGCAACACGCTCATGCGGTCACATGCCAAAAAAACGGTCACATGCCGAGACACGCGTTTCTGAGCCTCAAACACACATGCCTGCCCGCGGAGCACACCGAATCCGTGACAAAGGGAGACCACGAACAGAGCCGTGCCAAGAAGGAGACACAGGGACACTTGAACCCGTCCAAGCTGACAGACAGTGGGAAACAAATGAAACCGTCCACCCAGAGACAAATGAATCCGTCCACTCACAAAGCCGTGCCAGGCATCCAGCCAACCGGGGCCAAATACAGGGAGACAAAGGGAGACAAATGAATCCGTCCACTCACAAAGCCGTGCCAGGCATCCAGGCTTGGAGATAACAAAAGACAAATGAAGGGAGACAAAGGGAGGCAAATGAACCTGTCCGCCCGGAGAGCCGTGCCAGACGCTGGGAGACAACGGGAGACAAATGAACCCGTCCACAGCTTTCTGGGTGGACGGATTCATTTGTCTCCCTTTGTCTCCCTTCATTTGTCTCCATTGTCTCCCAGCCTGGATGCCAGGCACGGCTCTCTGGGTGGACGGTCCCTTTGTCTCGCTTTTGTCTTCCGTTGTCTCCCAGCGGCTCTCCGTGCGGACAGCTTCTTTTGTCTCGCTTTGTCCCTTCATTTGTCTCCCGTTGTCTTCCCTTGTCTGCGGATTCACGTCTCGCACTTGTCTCTTCTTGTTTCCCAGCCTTTGTCTCGAGCTTTCGGGTTCATTTGTCTCCCTTTGTCTCCCTTCATTTGTATCCTGTTCTCTGGCTGGACGGGTTATGTGTCTCCCATTGTCTCGTGCCCTGTTCATTTGTCTCCCTTGGGCAGGCTGAGACAACGGAAGACAAATGAATTTGTCCACCCAAGAGGATGGGAGACAAATGAACTCTCCACCCAGAGGGCCGCGCCAGACATCCAGGCTGGGAGGCAAATGAAAGGAGACAAAGGGAGACAAATGAACCTGTCCAGACAGCCGCCAGCCAGGCACAACGAGAGATAAATGAAGGTGTGACACCTAGAGAGCCGTGCCAGGCATCCAGGCTGAGAGACAACGGGAGACAAATGGGAGACAAAGTTAGACAAATGAACCCAGATACAGGCGGGGAGACAATGATAGAAAAATGAGGGGAGACATGCCAGGCATCCAGGCTGAGAGACAACGACAAAGAAATGAAGGGAGACTTAGAGAGCCGCGCAGGCTGGGAGATAACGGGAGACAACTGGAGGAGACAAAGGGAGACAAATGAACCCGTCCACCCAGAGAGCCGTGCCAGGCATCCAGGTTGGGAGACAGCGGGAGACAAATGAAGGGAGACAAAGCAAGACAAATGAAGCCGTCCACCCAGACAGCGTGCCAGGCATCCAGGCTGAGGGAGACACATGAGGCTGAAAGACAACGGGAGACAAATGAAGGGAGACAAAGGGAGACAAATGAACCCGTCCACCCAAAGCGCCGTGCCAGGCATCCAGGCTGGGAGACAAGAGACAAAGGAGACAAATGAACCCGTAACAATAGGTGAGTCACTTTAAATGAGTTTCAGCAAGCTGTTTGGGAAAAATGAAATCAACGAATCTAGGCGAATTGGGTTGGGAGCCACCCAGCCAGCGGTGCCCATGTAAATCTTTTTTGTCCCTTCAAAATCAACCAAGTGGGTCTTTAGGGCGCTTCTCAGCCGTATCCAGAAATTGGTTTCCTTTTGGTTTCCTTTCAAATACGTACCAAAAGGGGTCAACCATGTTGAGAAACTATTGGGGAACAGGCCTGCCGAGCAGCATGGAATGATATTAAGTCAACTTGGTGTTTCTACTTCACTTTATTGTGGAGCTGTCTCCGAACCTTGAAGTAAAGTTTCATGGTTCCAGGAATCTCCCACCAGACCGTTGACCGTAGTTTCCACATGCTAAAAGGAATCCCTGTCCCTGGAAGACACCCATAGAGATTGGGTTTCTGTTTTTCGGCCCATTTCGGGCCGCAGTATTTTACGCGCAGCGTAGGAGCGCAAATTTCAACATTGAAGCCTCCAAGCGATCATACAACATACCCTTGCGCACGCTACAAGAACCTGAGGAGTGTTCGCGGAAGATTGACACAAGACCACTCTTCGCTGATAATAAGGAGCCGATGTGGGGCCTTTGCCAAACAGCCAGAGAGGAGCACAAGTCGACCCCCGCAGCAGGTACTCGGGTTCCCTTCCCTTTTTGTTTTGTAGCTTCCCATGTAAATGTGGTCCTTTCAACAATGGATGCCCTTTTTTACCCCATCAAGCCCCAGGCCCGGAAATGAAGGCCTGCATCTTATGGGAACTTCCACCTGGGGAACCTAAGGTGAGCCACAATCAAAACCTGGCTCAGTGAAGGGGATCATCCCCTTGCCATTGGGTTTCCGCCTTTTCTATTCTGTACACGCTTCTGACCGACCACTCTAAGAGAAAGGTCTTGATGCTGACTCAGGTGCCTTTCACTTTCGTGCCTCGGTACATGTTCTACATCTTGTCGGAGCTCTTGAAAAACTCGGTGCGCGCCACTGTGGAACACTCTGCACGCGGCGGGAAGGAGATGGGCCCTGTGACCTTGGTCGCACCCCGGCTAAAAAGCTAGGCCGGGAAAGAGGGCGAGGTCGTAAAGAAACAAGCAAAGTGTTTTCATTTGGGGACACCCCCCCCAAAAAACTGCGTGGTTTTTTCCGTTTGTTTTCCATTTGAAACCACCAACCAGGGTACCCTCAAATAAAGACACACTCGTGAATTGATGGGTTGGAGAGAGCTTATGTCTCAACAGTTGCGAGGCGAAGTTGGGGCGTTTGTTTGGTAAGGTATGTTGTGTGTTTTTGGAGCGTGTGACTTTGGGGCAAAACCAAAGGGAGACCCATCTTGGAGTTGATCCCTCTGGTTGTGAAATGCCAAGGGCCCGCACAGAACACATTTGTATTGAGATTTGCCCGAAATGACGCTCTGAATCTGACTCATGTGGAAGGTGTTGTTTCTTTTCTTCGCAGGTTGAACTCCAGCCATTGTTTGGCAGTCCGTTCAGGCACCAACCCCGAAGATCATGCATAGTGCCGGTTTAAGCAAGGGCCATGTCACCCCATCAATTTGGGGCAACAATTTGTTATGGTAGTTTCCGGGCCCGGGTATTCCCATTTACACCAAAGTACCAGCGACAAACACATCCGAAGCTGCATGCGAACTCAGGTTTGCAACAGCAAAGGCATCACCAGCATCCGAGTCTCAGACGAAGGAGGCCCGGAATTGGGCGGGCCAGCGACTTGGGGAGGAAGCACTGATGGCTTTCTCTGAGCATAAAACTTGAGAGCTACGAAATCCTGTCAAGCTGACACGCATCACAAAAACGTCACGAAGCAACACAAAGACTCTGGCCCAGGTGAAACTTGGACATTCGAAGGGAGCATTGGCACATCTAGACATACCTAGAAACTCCGCTAGCGGAAATGTCGGCTCATTTTCCAAAAGCCAGAAATGTCCGCCTTCCGAGGCAGGGCCAAAAGCGCTCGAACCAAGGCAAGAAGCCGACGCCGCAACGCGACAGATTGATGCCCGCTATGTTATCAGCGCTCAATGGTTGCCAATGTTTTTGAACATGCCATGACTGACGCGCGCTGCAAAGGGCGACAGCACCAAACCATTTTCACTCAATCCTTCTTACCAGCAAAGCTTGTGGAAAGGTCTGGAACGATTGTTTCCCTTGCCGCTTGGCACGTCTCAGTTTGTCTCGGGCGCGAACACCGCGCAGATCAGTGGCAGATTTGTGGCCAGCCATGCCTTTGAGCGGCCGTCACGCCGAACAACTGATCGCCACCCGCTGTTTCCGGCATACCGTAAGCGCCTAACACGTCATCAAGCATGCCTGGAAATACTTGAGCAAGGCTAGTGCCTATGAATATGTTCGCCCGCCTGCAATTTTCAGGGTCTTTCAAACTGTCCCATCCATGAGGGCAGCAAGGGAAGACATGGGTTGGTCAGAAAGAAAGAGATGGAAGTCCAACAAGTCAACAGCAGGGCTCAGCATAGAACCAAAGCGAAAGCAGGAGAGTAGCCGCTAGGTACGTGCTTTGGCAGTCTAGCAATCGGCGAACGAGCTGGCAGCACATTTTCGCAGTTGCTCAATCAATGATGCCATGTTGTGTATGACATGGCACGGAATCCGCATAGACTCCCAATTTGTAGACCGATCCTTATGCAAAGGGCAGACCCCAGGAGCTATCAGATATACAGCACTGCCAAGGCTACACCACTCCATGAGCATTTGAGGAATCACCCCGAACATGTGAGCTACAATACTGGATGGACAAGGGGTAGTAGTAAAGGACAAGCAACCCATGCCAGATATTGGCGCGACAGCCCTTTTTATTGTAGTTTTGCGTAGTACGATTCAGCACCGGTTTTGCCGTGTTTGTTTGCACCGCTTGATATTTTTGAACTCTGTGCGGGAAACTGCCAACCCCTTCCTTGAACCGGGTACCGGAAACTGCAATGCCAACAGGACCGGGGTCTTCAGACAAGGTGCGTGTTTTGCCTTTGACAGCCCGACATCTGTCAAAAACTGGCACGGACCCTTCCAACGATTCAGCGGCTCCGTTGGCACCAAGGCGAGCTTTGATACCCAAATGGGAGTTGTCCAAGTTGTTTCCTGCTGTTTCGTAATCAATGGGGCTTGCCGAGGGCAACCCTTGCATTGCCCACAGTTGCCCTGGAACTTGAAACCAGCCCCTCTACAAGTAGCAAGTCTTATGGGAACCAGCCAGCAACTCGCTTGAGAGGTGGAATCCCGGTGCAAAGCTTAGCGCACGTTTGGTCATACCTCTACACCACTGCGCAGCCCATGGATATTCCCATCACGAGGCCGGCCACAGGTCTTTCCGATCGAAATAAAAGCATTTGGTCGGTGCCCTTTTGGGAGCTCAAAAGAAGCCACCCTTTCGGGGTCCCTGTTTGGGGAGGGTGGAAGTACATACGGCTAAACTGGGCTCTTGCTGGAGACCAGCCCACTTAGACTCGGCACTCGTTCCCATTCCAGTAAAGTCCGCCAAAGCCGGGGGGCGGAAGTTTCAAAACTATTCAACACGGTTATCGTTCTCGCTCTCTTTCGCTTTCTTCTTTCTCCGACACAGCTCCAAGACTGCCGCCACGTGGCACGTGGGGCAGGGTCGAACTCACGCACAGGGCCACGTGTTCGGCCCGCTTCTCTTACCCAGCTCCCGCATTCGCTAGCTTGTTCCTAGCTTTTTCAGGCACGTGGCATCGGTTTATGTATCTATCTATGTTGTTCTCTACTTAGCTATTTATCTGCCTATCTATCTACCTTTATCTATTTGATATGTCTCTCTCTCTCACCATCTTTCTAGATACCTATCTAACTATCTACCAACCCTTTTAACTATGTTCTTTCTTTATTTATTTATTTTGTTCGTTCGTTCGTTCTGTCTTTGTTTCTGTGTTAGACGGAGAGAGAGAGAGAGAGAGAGAGAGAGAGAGAGAGAGAGAGAGAGAGAGAGAGAGAGAGAGAGAGAGAGAGAGAGAGAGAGAGAGAGAGAGAGAGAAAGAGAGAGAGAAGAGAGAGAGAGAGAGAGAGAGGGAGAGAGAGAGAGAGAGAGATAGCTCATTTGGTTCCAGTACTATGGAAAGTTGTTGAGCTTCCTTTGGTCCGGGAGAAGATCTGGTATGAACAGCAGCAAGCCTCAAACGTAACCATTTACCTCAAGGGGTGCGCACAAGCATGCCAAAATCACCCGGGACAAAAAATAAATGAGTTGAACGCGATTCATTGCCAGCGTCATGAAAAGGAAACCCCTAGTGCTGAATATGTCATACATCCTGATTTTCGGCCACTTTCTGCATCCAAGCCTCATGTTGACACCCACCCGAGCACCGAACCCTCCCCCCCACCAGTGTCTCATCCCAGGGAGGGCGTGGATGCCCCCACGGAACTCCAGCGCCTGGAGATGTCCATGCACGTGGCCCACAGCCCCGGCCCCAGGCGGTCGCTGAGGGTTTGGTTTCCCACCGGCCACAAAAAGCTTCCATTTGCTGACATGAATATTGTTTTTTTTTTTTTTTTCTCCCCTGTTGGCTTTAAAGGGAATCTATCACTACTGGAAATATCTTATATTCTTCCAGGGATCTTTACCAAATGGAAGAAAAACTTTGACATTGATCAAATCCAGGTTGACGAATGAATCCGTCAAGCCAAATCCAAGCTCTAACTGTTCAAAGGACTACTCCAAGGGTGAACAAAACGGAACTTATTTCTCATCGGGACCTGGAGGAGACCGACCAGGGCGTTGCCAAAGTTCACCCCAGTGCGAAGCCCCCAAGTACACCACCACCCCCTTCCCCACAAAATCAAAGCACCCCTCAAGAAGGAGAAATTCGCGAAATTCTCTTTTGTGTCGCCATCTCCAGCCGCGTCCTGACGCGTCAGGTTTGGCCTTGCCGGAGGAGACGGCCCGCGAACATCGCATCCTCCTGAGGCGGGACCTCCGGTCGGAACAGGCTTTTGAACTTAGCGGTCGATTTTGAGCAAAAGAATGTATGTTAAATTTTGAGAGGGCTGCAACTTGGCCCCTTTGTGAAGTTGGAACCTTACTGATAAAGACCCAGCTACTAAAAAAGCGGTCTCTGGTTTGCAATCTCCGTATTGGATGTGTTGGCTTGAAGTGTGGATGGCCACGAGTTACTGGAGAGTCCTTCTGCATGACCCTGTGCAGACCAAGCTTTGTTCAAACCAGGCCTTGCCGGGAAGCAGTTTCAACATGAAAGGAGAGATGGCGCACCAGGTCCCCACTGGCGGGCCTGGGCTGCGGGCTCCCACTGAGCCGGCTCTATGCAGAGTACCTGGGGGGCCGCATGAAGCTGCAGACGATGCCCAGGCTTGAAGCGGAAACCAGACGCAGGTGTTTTGAGGGCCGGGGTTTTCGTCTTTTGTGTGTTTGCTTGTTGCTTGCTCAGTGTCCTTTCTGTGAGAATCCCAAAAGAAAACATCTACTTCCAGATATCGAGCAAGCCTTGAGTTTGAATTTGCAAAACGGCGCAAAACGCGCATCCAAGATGTGTGGCACGCCTGCTTTGGCACAATACATGTTCTCCCCTGAAGGGTCACACGAACACGTAGTTATTTCATGGGGCGCGGGTATTTCATAATCTTTCGTTGGGAGCGGGGTAACGATGTGATGCTTTGCTAGATTTTGCCAAAACCCACTTTGAGCACCTCCAAGAAACAAAAAGTCTAGCTGGCTTGGGAAGGGCCGATGGACCCATTTTGGCAGAGAGTTGAGCATCGGGGAGGGAATGTGTCAATAGTCGCGCTGATCGCGGAAGCAAATGCCTCCAAATGCTGCAAACTTATGTCCGCGGAAGCTTGCTTTCAGTTTTCTAAGAAAACGCATCGCGGAAGCTACGTACCCATGCGGAAGGTTGAATAATAATTTCATATGAACTAGAAAGGAATACGAGACACCACTCATCCAGCCTTGTTACTCACAACGTGTGAGTAAGCGGGCTACAAAAGAGTCAACCACCCACCCCTTTTTCAAACGCGAATCCAGATCTCTACGACACTCTGGAGCAGCTGACTCTCAAACCGCCTTGAAATCCCAGCAATACGAGGTACGGCACAGACGTCTTTGTGTACCTCAACAGCGTGGGCAACAGTGGCTGGGCCGAACACGGGAATTGTCTTCTTTCAGCTCGGAGCGTGTCAGGTTGCTAAGCTGAATTTGGGCGCTGACAAAAGAAGCCGGGCTGCGATTCACAAATTGCCATGGTCTTGCGTGAATCCTTCCTTGCTGGCAACTCTGACTTTCCGTTGAACCCGCCAAAGCTTAGTCTGGTTTTCACGGCGGGAGACCTGAAGGAAAGCATCCGGAGCCAGAAGATAAGCAATGTGTCGGTAGTTTGATGGATACATCACAGAATTTGTAGAGCATTCATTGGATTTGGCTCGGGATAAACAACGCTAATACGAATACATATATGTATGTGTTTTGGTGATTCATATTTTTGGAATACATGCACCATTTGATTCCAGATCTGGACTGGTGGTAGACTTGTCCTTTCAAGTCCTTTTGAACGACTTGAATTTCAAAAAGGGTTTGCTTCCAGATCTGGACCCGGCATACTGTTCCCTTCAAAGTTCCTTTAAACAACAGTCAGTTTCCAAGTGCTGTTTCCAGAGGAGTGGTAGATTTATCCTTTCAACGTTCCGTTAAGAAAACAATTTATTTAAAAATTGGTGTTTCCATTGAACTGGTGTTTCCTTTCAATTCTTTCTAATCTGGGGTGGTAGGTTTTCTGTTCAAAGCCACATTTGGAAAGTTGTCGATTTCAAAGTGTTGCTTCCAGATGGTCCTCTTGCCATATCTGTTCACCATCTGCTTGGCCAAAATGACTAACAAAGCTCAAGAGTGGATCTTAGGGGGATCACATGTGTGTATATATGTATATATATATATATTAACAGATATGCATGTACTGTATTATTGTGCGCGCGCATATATTCAGAGGCACTCACTCCAGTGTATGTTGCTTTGGCTGGCGCTGCGGTGTTGTTGCAAGCTGTTTGTTTTGTTGCCTGAGTGCAGTGGGAACCTTCCACAAGCTTTGAGGCATGTGTCCCGGACCCGCAGAGATTTATTAGATATGCCTCAATTTGAGGACGGCCTACCCGCAGAGCGGGGCGCATCATATTTGTCATGTTTGGGACTTGCACATATGCAATCATCGTCAAAGCCAAGGATGCCGCGAGTCCTTTCCTCTCAGAAACCGACGAATGGCCAAAGCACAAGCCACAGAGAAGTAGCCCAACACTTTGTTTTTCCTTGAATGAATTGCCTGTAATCACCAGATTCTGTTGATAGTCTCTTAGAAATCGAGTAATGTCCAGAATAGGGGATCCCCAAGATTGTGATGTTCTTGGTGTCTCTTCAAGGCGTTCCTTCAAAACCACCCCCACAAAGGGTACCCCCAAAAAACGCTGACACAGACACTCCCTGTGCCAGTTCCGTTTTTTCGTGTTTTTCGAGGTGCAGAGATGCTGAAGGCGATCTGACTGGCTTGGGCAAAACAAATGGCGCTCTTGGGTCACTCCGGCTGGGGGCTTTACAACGCTACATAACCCGAAAGCCCGTTTTCAGAGGAATCTCCTGGGCCCCCCTGGGTTCTGAATTCATGCTGCTTCCACGTTGCCAAGCTCGCCCATGTCAAGCCCTCGGTTGGCCCCCTATGGCAAGGTACATCCTCGAGAAGGAGAGATTAGACTTCAGGAGGCCGGGGGCTTGTCTAGATGATCCGCAGGTATCATTTTGCGCACCCAGCAAGTTGGATGTCTCCAGTGTGTCCCAGGATTGTCTCTGTTCTTGAGGTCTTGTAATTTCAGGCTGTAGTGCCTCTGAATGCACCGCCTAGTAGCAGGGCCGAGACTGCATATGGGTCATTATAGGTCTGTTTTGTTTGGAGAGTACCCGGATGTCAATTTGTGAGGCCATAGTGCGATGAGTCGCTGGCAAACGTTCAGGCATCGTGGCCCCGCAGGAATTCCGCATGCGTTTGGCCGCCATTGCGGACTTGGCGCAATCAAATATGATGAAGTGGGGATGTTCAGAATACCCTCCTGTCCAACATGGCCGTGGGTCAAAACCAATAGGATCCCATTTTGGGGTAGGTGAATTCACCACCCATTTTAGAACCCATTTTAGTGGGGATAGGGATGTTCTCTGCGGGTACGACTTGGATTTGACCCATGGCCACATTGAACCAGGAAGCTTCCAGGACTGCACAGGCTCAGGTTCCATGTTGCACGGGAGCGCATCCAAAGGCGCCCGCCTCGTCTTGCAAGGCCTCCAGCCTGGGGCAAGATCAAGCGCTGCCGGCACCGTTCTGGGGGGATGGAGTTTCAGCAGGCTGAAACTTGGAGCATCCCAGGCCCCATGGAAACATGGTTGTAGGAAAACATCATTGTGGTTTAGTGGGAAATCCCCACTTAACTGCTAAAATTTAGATTGTTGCTCCCCTTCCAATGTCAACCAAGAAAAGGACACCCTTACCAGCTGATTTAGAGGCTTCCCTTGGAAAGCAGCTAGTTTTGGGGTGTATCCTCAAAGCTTTGAGGGCCCCTAAGGTGCTGGTTCATGAGTATGGCACCAGCTCCGCCCTTCTCCCAGCCGTTTTGCCTCGCTTGAGCATCGAATCTGTCGGGGTTGCTGGGAGGCTAGCTTTCATATTGTCCAAGCCCTCTGAGCTCCCCTCAAATGATTTTTCCCAGAGTGAGTCTCCTCCAAATTTGGAGCCCGATTTGTTACGGCCTCGAAAGTGTGTTTTTGCGGCCTCAGCTGGTTGAAGCCATGGTACCACTTTGGTTTCACCTGGAAAAAACTCCAAGGTGATGAAACCAGTGTACAACTTGAAATCCAACTAGATGATCCAGCGATCCCTGTGCTGGACGCAACACGGAAACAGCTGGAATCCAATAAGCACGGACCAAGAAATCCCTGGTGAAGCGTAACGAGAAATCCTTCTCAAAGCCGAACACTTTCGAGGCAATCTCGATTGCAACCCGCGCCAGGCTCATGGAGCGAGAGACGCAGCCGGAGAGATGGGATTGGGCTTGGAGCTAAGTTGGAGTACAAAGTTTAGTTAAACCAGCTTTGTGGCTGAAAAGTAGGGGCCCTGAAGAATTGGTGGGTCTCCTCTGTTTTTCCTTTGCCAAACGGTGTCAACAAAAGACCGACCCGTTTGGTCCCCCAAACAAAGCTGGAAAGTAGGTCCAAGGGAAAACTGATCCAAGGCCACTGACCCATGAGTTCGGGGTGGGCGGAATCCGGATTGGAAGCGGAAAGTATGTCCTGGGTGCTAAATAGCCCGTATTTGCAGATTTCTGAAAAGGATGCCGAATGGAGCACTTGAGGATTTGGCCAAACTCAACAAGCGCCCAGCTTCCAAATGGTCACAACATGTGAAAGCAGTACCTGCAAAAATATTGCGATTCATTGATCCGATCCTACACTGTCCTCTTGTACTTCGTGTACACCTAGACACAGAGGGGCAAAAATATTTGGACAAATGCTTGCCACTGCCTCCTTTTCAAACATTACTGGTATTTGCTTGGGGTTATGCCACTCGCTGTATGTTGTTTTGTAGGTCTAAGTCTCTCTAGATCTTAGATGTTCCCTGCCAAAGAGTTGTCTAGGTCGGCCTGCTGGGGCATGCGGCGCGATCGCTCTTTGCTGTCAACCGAGGTGGTGTGGGCAGACTGCGACACCTACTTCATGAATATGAGGCCTGTGCCGCAGATGGGGCGCTTCACTAAGCGGCTCGCTCATGGCGTATGGCGTCCAGCGCAAGATAAGGAGCTCTGCCAAGCAGGCCTTGAACCCCCTCTCTCCAAGAAGCCCTGCCACCAAGTAGACCTCTCGTCAAAGTCTTCGTCCAAAAGCTTTCAAAACGCACTTCCGACTTGAATGCTGTTCGCAAGGATCGTTGACCTTTAACTGTCGGGGAATTTGCTTTCCCACAACCCAACAAAGGTGTGTATTGAGAGGGTCCCTGAAATGGAGCTCCCACTTCGCCAGCACAACCTTGGAGAGCGTGATTTACACCTATGCCGGCGTCTCAGACGGTCCGGGGTCCCAGAGGTTTGGAAGATCTCTGCGAATGGATCGCCTTGTGCCGACTTACGCGGATACTCAAAAGGGCCCCTCATTTGGACAACCCCCCCCCCCCAACAAAAACAAAAGCACTTCACACAAGTTCATAGTTGGTTTGTCTCATTATTCATGTATGTGTTTTCGGATCCAACTAGTGCACGATTAGGTCCATCCACAGTATACATATGATTACTCCTTGTAGAACAAGGTGTTGTACTTTGTCCTGCTTGTAGGTCAAGGTGTTGTACTTTGTCAAGATCCTTTTTTGCAGCGCTTCTACTTTGCTCTGAGCGCGAGCAAATGGCTTGCCTAGACTAGCAGTCATTCCCCGGTTTTGTTTGCTTGAAGATGGACATGAAACGACTTATCCAACCACATCGAAAGCATGTTCAGGTTGGCGTCTTAGGAAAGCAACATACAACTCTTGACAACATGGTGCAATCCATCTGGTATATCGATCTGTTGTATCCAGTGACCCGCTGTATTGTCAGTCTTGTGCAAAAACCTAGTATCCCAAGCTTGGCTTGCTGGCCGTGTGAAGTGTGTTGGCACGCCACGGGGTAGGCGTTGCTTGGTTTAGCTTCCTCGGAAAAGCAGGCGTGTCAGTGGAGTGAAGGGCATGTGCTAGTGTCTCCCTAAACGCGTTGTGGAGCGGAATTGATAGGATGGGTAAGGCAAGCTCCCCCAAAAGGATCATTTGGCTGATGTAGCGGGGTTGCCCAAAGAAAATGAGGCACCCTACTTCATTGACAAGTTCCAACCCCCTTGTGACCGACGCAGGCAAAGGCTTGACGCTGGATCCAGAGGCCAGGCCTAAGCAGCGCCCCCGAGAAGTTGTGGCAGCAGTCATATTTTTCCCGAAAGGACCGCGAATGGCTCTTCGGGAAAAATTGCTAGCTAACTCGCTGAAGCACGCTTGCACAAGCACTTGCACGAGCGCACTCGCACGAGCACACTTGCACGAGCACAATAGCACGAGCACACTCGCACAAGCGCACGAGCGCACTTGCTTGCACGAAAGTACTTTCACAAGCGCACTTGCACGAGCACACTGGCAGGAGCGCACGAGCGCACGAGCGCACTTGCACGAAAGTACTTTCACGAGCGCACTTGCACGAAAGTACTTTCACGAGCGCACTTACACGAGCCCACTTGCACGAGCACAATGGCACGAGCACACTCGCACGAGCGCAGGAGCGCACTTGCACGAGAGTACTTTCACGAGCGCACTTTCATTAGACAATTACATTTTTCTCTGCAGTGCCCTTGATGGACTCCAGATCATGCACGAAACCAAAGACTGCATTTGACACGATACTGCGCAGTCGCTCTATACTTTGTTTTTTAGAGTTGTTGTTATCAACAATTTGTTGCCTTTAATCAAGAAACCTTCAGGGGGTGCAGCGTTTTGAGAACATGTATATGAGCGTCCGTCAGAATTTATTTGCGGGGTTGCCTTTGCGCATTTGCGCTAGTCACTGTGTTGCAATCGAACCCCACGCGCGAAGTCTCAAGAGAGGCTTAAACCGTTGGAAGCCGAGTGATGCTCAGCTTGGATCAGTCCCGATGCACCTGAAGAGATCCCTGGCGTGTTTCAGCAGGCCACCTGGCCCAAAATGGCCGAAGGAAGCTGGACCCTTTGGGGGGGGTTGAAAGAAAACCAGCACGAGTCACCAACCAACCTGAACCCTCAACCCATGAAAATGGGAGGATTTCCCTTTTTTAATAGTTTTTTTGACCCAGACCCCACCATTGCTACCGGACCATCACGAATCGGAATCGATGGCTCCTTCGTCCCATGTGCTTCGGAAATAGGATCAAAGGAAGCCAGGAACAAAGAGACGTCCCGAAACCAAAGAGAAACCATGCCTGGGTAATTCACAAATTGGCAACCAACAGCTTTCGTGATTATCCATAGCAATTCTTGAGGGTGGTGCACGAGGCTGGCTCGGTTCCGGAAAGCCTCGGTGGTGCACGGCAACATTACGGCGGACGCAAGTTTGCTGTTCACTTTGCATTCGCTGAAAGCCACAATGCTTACCTGGGCCAACTTATTGCACGTTGAAAATGGGCCTCGTGCTGCGCAAGGGCACCACGCGCTTTCTTCGGCTTCGTGCATCCCGTTGTCTGGTAGGGCCCATGCTTCATGTGCAGAAGGAACTTTTGGCTGGGCTCCCTGCATTCCTCTTCAGCGCGGGCTTTGTGCTTTGGACGAAGCAGATTTGTTGCGGATGCGAGCACGTGTAGTTTGCAGCCTCGCCAGGAAAGTGCAGATGCGCGTTTGGAGCAGCAGTGTGATGATCAGGCGATTGAGGCTGCGTGGGTTGAGGTAGAGCGTTGCCGCACAGACGGCGAGGATACGGTCTGCTCTTCCGTGTCGTGCTTCTCTTCTGAGTCTTGTTCGCTCTGTGGCGATGAAGATGAGGCTGAGGCTAGCGACGAGTTCGAGGAGCCTTGGATGGTCAATGCGATGTCAGGTGTGGCCCACTGCGCTGTAGTTGAAGGCGAAGGAGATGACGCTCGAGCGTTTCTTGCTTGCCGGCCTGCAGCTAGATTGCACCTGTGTACCGGAGACCAGCCCGTCTCTCCAGTACTTGCAGGGTGTTCAGAGCCAGTGTCAGCAAAAGGCTTGGGCGTGCTTGCTCGAAGCGCCGGGACCTTGCTGAAGTTCTGGCAGAAGCTGCAGGTCTTTGCGGGGATGAGTGGGATCTGGACCTGGCTGGACCCCCTCGTCGTGTCTACCAGTTGCTCTGCACGCGTACGCAAAGTTGGAGGCTCGCTTTGTGGGGCATTACACTCGAAGGCACGGGGCAGACTAGCGATCTCTATCCGTGCTTGAGGCTGAGGAGGCAGACCGGGAGGTCCTTCAAGAAGTGTTTCGTCAGGTGCTATTTCCGCCACTTCATGGGGCCTCGCCCCAAGGTGCTGGCAAAGCTTAATGGTTCTGCGGCGCGGAGCGCAAGTCAGATGCCCTTCCAAAGCATGGAGCCAAGCGGGGGATGCTTGGGGAATGCTTTGATTGGGCTGATGGCAGGTGCACCCGGGTGAATTGCCGCTTCCAACACGCGTGCGGGAAGTGCGGTGACGCAGGCCACAGCTCGCAAAATTGCAAAGCGGTCTCTTGATTAGCTGTGGAGGCGGGGCCCCCAAAGGCGCTGGTGGCGGAGCCCCATGAGGCGCCAGCGCCTGCCTGCGTATGGGCGGCGGGGCAGATGGCTTGACCGGCGGCTGTGCTAGCCGTGCCGGCTCAGCGTTGTTTTGCCTGATAGCTGCACGGAGTTGCCAATCTTGGATGGCGGTGGGTTGGGTTCCACTGCAGATTGGCTACGGCCACGGGTGTCTAAGGATGTGTTCCACCCCTTGCGGAAACGCTTTGGATCCTCTGTGCGGGAATGGGCGTTGGTGCCGCGTCTGCGCAAGCATCTGGAGCGAAGGTGTGGGGATTGCTTGTTTAGCGTGCAGGAAGTGCAGCAATTGCGCGACGAGCTTGTGCAATTTTTGCGGGTGTCTGGTTCCCCATGCACGGACGCCGTTGCGCCGCATCAGCCTTTTTTACTGGACGCATGGCGGGCTTGTGCCGAGTTGCGTGGTGACGTGGATGCCGCGTTGCCAAACATTCTAGTAGAGGGCGTGTCTACGGGAATCTTGGATGCTATTCCTGCCTCAGGTGTTTGTTTTCCAGTTTGCGTGGAAGATACTGGAGGGGACTTGCTGGTCCACGCCGCGCCCTGGTCTTCTGCAATGGAAGACCCGGCTCTGACGCGGCGACTGCTGCAACAAGATATTGACGCAGGCTACTTGATGCATTTGCCTGGGGGCGCCGCGGAGGCTCGTGATAGGTGGGGCGACAACGTTGCTGCTGGAAAGCTGGGAGTTGCCTGTGCTCCCGGAAAGAAACCCCGGCTGATTGGGGATGGAACTGTCAGCGGCGCAAACCGCCGCGCGAAGATCTGCGAGAAGGTGAGGCTTCCAAGCTTGGAGTCTTTGCAGCGCTTCGCAGGTCGCGTGCCCACCTCGAGGTCCTTCACAGCATTTTCGTCTGATATACGCGGGGCGCACAAGCTGGTGCGCGTGAGGGAGTCGGAGCAAGGCTTTCCTGCGTGCATTTTGGAAGATGCTTGGTATCGGCGTATTTCGGGTGTTGCTGGGCCGCTTATTGGTTGTCAAGAGTAAGCGCGTTCCTGACACGGCATCTTCACAAGTTTATCTACATTGGGCATGGTCTGTTCGTTTATGTGGATGACGGCCTCATTTTGCTTCCGGTTGAAGTTGCGCCGCTGGCAGCGTGCACCTCTCTGATGTTTTTGGTTGCCTTGGGGGTGCCAATGAGCTGGGAGAAACTGGCCCCGGGGTCTTCGTTGAATTGGATTGGTTGGGATTTCTTTCACTGCCACGTTGCCTTCTACAAAGCGGGAGAAGCTGTTGGGGCAGCTCAAGGCTTTAGTGACGCCTGGGTTGGCGGTGGACCGCAAGCTGGTTGAGCAGCGCATTGGTTTTTTCACGGTTTTGCGGAGGGGCTTTTTGGCTGAAGCCTTGGCTCCAGCAGCTCTACAAACTTCTTTACAAGCCTCGTTGCGTTTTCCGGTCCATGTCCCTGGGGCATTTTGGCCTTGTTGCAGCAGTTGTCGCCCACCTTGTGGGTAACTGCTTCGCTGCCATGTTGCGATATTCTCAATGGCTGGAAATTGCACTCTGTGGGCAATTGCGTGTTGGCTGACATTGACGCCGGCGCTGCGGAGTCCGAAAATGAAGCATGGCTGCGCGGAGTGCGTTTTCTACAACTACCAGAACCCCACGGTCAAAGGTTGCCAGGCATCTGCGCAAGTCTCGCGGCTGTCCAACAACGCAGGCTTCTGTCCCTCTACGTTTTGCAGATGCGGACGGTGGCTTAGCCGCAGCAGATGCCTTTGCCACTGCTGAGGTTGGCGGCCTGGGTGGCTGGTGGATCAAGCCTGGGTGCGGCTTGGTGCGTTCAAGAGTCAGCTGGTTTAGCTTCCAGCTGACTAGGGCTGAGCTGCCGGATTGGTTTCGGAACGGCGCTGGGGCGCAGCTGCTCTTGCTGCTGGCGTGAGCTGAGGAGTTGGACGTGCCGGACAAGGTGATCCTCAAACTCCATCAGCTGTGTGACAACGCTGGCGCAGCGTCTGCGGCTAGAAAGCAGCTCGCGATGTCGGCTTTTGGTGTTCTCAGTTGGGAGTTGCTCTGTGTCCTCATCATGTTGCAGGTGTGCGCAACATCTGGGCTGATGAGTTGAGCAGGGGCCGCCTGGCTGGCTCTGACCCGGCCTTTCCACGGACGTGCGTCGGGTGCTTGCGCGGCCATGGGAGTAAAAAGGCCCGCGGTGCTGAGCCGAACATGTTTTTCTCCCACCTGTTTGTTTTAGGCTTCTTTTGAGCACTCTTCGATCGGGGTGATGTTTGTGTGGTGCCCTGCATGAATCCCCACCCTGTGGCTGGGATGGGGCTGGCTGCAGTCAGTGCGCTGCATGTGCGCTGGCTGCAGCTGGCCTTGTGGTTATTCATGCATTGAAAATGGTTATGCTTCCACAAGGGCACAAGCATGATAGCATTAGGGTTGAGGGTGGTGCACTGGGGTGGGCTGGGATACGGCCAGTGCACCACTCAAACTCTCGTGCTTCTGCCTTGTCCCTAAGTTTGTGGTTGTGCTTGATGCTTTTTCTGTATGTGTGCAGCTCAAGCAGCAGGTGTGTTTGGGTAGTGGTAGGGTTTGGCTGCTGCTTGCCAAAAGCGCCATCCTTGGAAGAAGTGAATGCCCTGTGTCTGGGATGGGGCTAGTGCACTGCATGTGCTGGCTGCAGCTGGCCTTCTGGTTATTCATGCAGTGAAAATGGTCATGCTTCCACAAGGGCACAAGCATGATAGCATTATGGTTGGTCCCCCGCAATTTTCCTTGGAAACAACAAGGACACCAGCCCGTGCCGCGAACCTGAAAATCGAAAATCGAGTGGTGTTCCACGTAATCCGCCGAAAAAGAGCACCAAACAAAACAATCCATAGTGCCCTTTCTTCGTTCCTTGGGAAGGGTTTCCCTTCAAATTCAACCAACAAAGAACCGCCAGGTGCAGCTCATCGTGAGCGAGGACAGCGCCATGCTCAACACGGGCATCTTCTTCGCTCGGGGCACTGATTGGGCCCGGCGGCTTATTCGAAGCGAGTTTCCGATTCGCGAGAAGTCATGGGTCGCCCCGAAACTATGTGGTTTCCTGTTGGTGTTCCTTTAAACCAACAGGGAAAGTTACTTCAAGAAGCAAAATGAGGTGGCGTTTGCTTTGGGGCGCGAGGCCCCTCCTGTTTTGGGGGGTCTCATCCTTTTATTACCTCAAGATGAGGCTCCTCCTTCAGATAGTAGAAAGGGAACCACAAAGGTCCGGTTGTTAGATGTTTTAAACGCGGCATTGTGCCCCCATTCCCCGGGTTCATCGCCGTCACTGCTTGGGGGGACCGACTTTCTGCTTCTTGGTATTAGCTTTTAGCGCAGAGCCTTTGAGTGGCCACGGGGTTAAAGCTGCTTTTGGATTTCACGCTGCTTTAAAGCGAGCTGTTGGTTTTGAGGGATGCCAGAGGATGTTGTAAGCAGCCAGCTTGCGTTCAGCAAATCGACACTCCAGGGCATCTTTCAGGGATCCTTGCATTTCGCCTCCCTGGGTGATTCAAACATCCCCTCTGGTTTTTTCACATGAGCTTCCTTTTTTGGAAAGGATGATGTTGGAAGGGGACATGCGCGTGAACGTGAAATTCTACTGGGATAAACCACACATCCCAGCTGGTGCAAAGTGGATTTGGTTTCAGAGTCAGAACAAGGGGGCCACGGCAAGGGTCTAGCCCGTAATGGTCCTTGGCCCACAATAGTCACTGTGACTTTCGAATAGTCGCTCTGCAATGGCTTCCTTAAGGCTCTGAATCAGTGTGGTTATGCATCAAAATCAGGACCCTGCAAATTGTGGTGTTGCTTTTGGCTTCCCTTTAGAACCACCCAAAACAGGGGTACCCCATCAAACACACATACATCCCGACCAGTTGCAAACCGAGGTCCAGTCGCTGCTGGCCCGTGTCTGGGGCGGCATCCTCAGGGTCGAATTATTTGGGGCCCCTTGAGATGGCTTCAACTACCAAAAAGGTTCCATTTTGAGAAACACTTATTTGTACTTTGGATGAGGGCATCCTCCCAATGTGCGGCTGTGCCAATTGTGCTCTGGACGAAATCACTGATACTGTGTGCCCAGTTGGAGGTTGGACTGTTGGCTAGGGCAGTCAGATTCAATCAGGGGGTGCTCCAATATGGATGACTTGCCTGACCGCTTGTGGCTTTCAATTGGAAGCCAAAGCGAAGCGAGCCATTCTAATAAGTCTATGTTAAATCCGCGTATGCGGATTTCAGCCCTCCGGGCGACTCAGGCGCGGATGATTCCCCGTGGATCGACCATCCTTGGTGGCCGACTAAGGGGAGGATTGGCTGTGGAGCAAGCCATTGCATACCCTTTTTCGGGTTTCGTTCAAAAAGGAAGCATTTTTGTGTGGTCCTCATTTGGTCTGTTTAGGGGCAGGCGGCTCCAGTTCACTGACACCGTTCCTTGACATGGCTGGAGCCGGAACAGAGACCCTTCGCCATTTTGGTGAATGTGTGGCTCTCTTGTTTGGGCTGGAAACACTCATGCAACTGCGACCATGAGGTGGGAGAATGCAGCCTTTGCCTGGCAGTTCCTGAAGGAGCGGGCTGGGTCCAAACATGGGCCTTGGTCGTTTTTCTGTCAGCATCGTCCCTGACGGAACACATCCTCCAGTCCGGAGAAGTTCTGGATTGGCGGCACAGTCGACAACCAGGTCTTGGGCCGTGATCGCCAAACCATGAATGCACAATTCCCTGAAGTCCTTATGGGGCACACTCGTTTTGTGTGGCCAGGATATTGCAAATGAAGCCCGCCAAACCAAGAAGAAGAAACAAAACAGAGTGTGTCGTGTGGTGTGATCCGCCAGATGGATGCAATGCCAGAAATCATTAGTGACGGATTTTGTGCTCAGTCTGTGGGGTTGCCGCTTGCTGGAAATCCCTGGACGTCCTCTCAGTACCCAATCTGCCAATCCGTGTTTCTTTTTAAGCTGAATGGCGTGTTGGCGAAATGTTGACTCAGGCAGTGGACTTCTTAGGACCCAACCGATCACTGCTAATTAGCTGGGCTAAGGCCTCGCCGTTGTCGAACAAAGGAACCAACAAACGTGCAGGATCAATGCCTTACAAGTCACAGGAGATGGTCCCAGTTTTTCGGCAGCCGTTTGCGGGTATGGTGCCTGCATTGGAGGACAATGCTCGGAGGTTCGCATCAGAGGATTTGGAGGACCGGATCGAGGGGTCGAGCGCGGCTTTTTCTCTGTTGAAATGAAACGACCACTGCGGTGGCTCCGGGATATTTCAAATATTTGAACATGTCCCACATGAGACAGTGCAATGTGTGGCTTGTTCGAAAAACATAGAAGGAGGTCAACGGTGAGGATTCGGTGCTCGCCGTCTTGTTGTTTTGGATGCGGAGCGAGGGATTCGGCGCCCTCTCCGGCTGCAGGGAAATTCGTTGTGCTCCTTTCAGACCTCTTGCAGACCTTTGGCTGTTGGCTGGGCCTTCGGAGAGGTTTTTTTTCCCGGAGCTCTGGGAAGCACGCTGATCCTAGCATGCCGAAGTGCGGCAAGGGGCTCACAGAAAGCCAGCGCCCGGTTGAGTTGGCCCAAAGATATGTCAACAAGGCACGGCGTGCCACCAAAACCAGCCTGTAGTTTGATATTTCCTCAGTTGATGTCCCTGGAATTAGGATTTCCAGCTGAAGCTCTCGATCTTTGAAGAGAGCCATGCAGGAAATTCTGCTGAGAGACCCCACATTGGTCAGGTTGTGTTTGTTCAAGCTTGATGAAGAACAAGCTCAGCCATTCAAAGGTCCCTCTTACGAGAGTTCGTGGTTCAGATTTTGGCACACGCTCAGAGGTTGTGGGTTGCGCTTGATGATTTCGGCCGGTTTCTTAGATCACTTTGCACTCTTTGCACTTAGATCACTTGTTTAAGCAACCTCGTTTTGATTCCCTTTACAGGGGCACGGGTGTGATTGGCGAAGCAGGTTTTGCCCAAGCCTTTGCAGAACCTCACAGCCAGGAGTGGGCCAAGAAGGGCGAGGACGACATGAAGGGAGCAGCAGGGCTGCAGTCAGACCGGCTTGGAAGCTTCCCTTTGTCAGCCCAATCATTCCCAATCCCTTCAGCTTTCTGTGAGCTTCGGGTGGAATCCACAAAGCCTCCGGGAGTTGAACCTCAAGATTCGAGTCTGCGCTCCACACTGCAACCAAGTTTTCTCTGGGCAAGACCGATCTCAAGCTCGTGAAAAAGCCGAAACAGAGAAGAGAAACAGAAAACATTTCAAGATTTCAACGGTTACATACAATAATCAAGTCTTCACCACATCAAAGCAAGACGGGTGGAGAACTAGACAGCGGCCCGGAAGCATAGAGAAACATTAGGTGACACGGCGATGCCCTTCTCCTTTCTACTCTCGTGTTCAAAAAACCTTGTTCTGCAGGCTTCGCAGCAAAAGGCGGCTCAGTTGCTGCCTGTCTCATCGCGCCGCAGAACTGTTTCCAGCAAGCATGCCCGATGTGTTTCCACAGTGGCCAGGGCCTAGAGCACGTAGGCACGATGGCGCCAGGGGCGGAGACCATGGACCCTACAAGCAACGTGTTTGCAAACGTTGCTTTGCCTCGGTCAGTGCGCAAAATAGTACACTGCCCAAGTGCGTTCGGGGTTCACAGCTGCATCAATTGGCTGCAGCAAAGACCACGCACATGAAATCAACACAAATCATCATCCATGTGTGTGTGTGTGTGTCAACTAGCCAGCATGCTCTGCGATACTCGGCTTTACTTGGCAACAGCAACCACAGGCGCAAACACTGGCTATCGAACAAACATGTTTAACAAGCTGCAAATATCAATGCTAGTAGAGCAGGCAAAGCCAGCGGGCGGAAGTTTCAATAATATAACATCTATAGTTATCTTTCGCTTTCTTTTCCTTTTTTCC